CTATTAAAAATAACCCTATACTCTCACAATAGATTCATTGTCTTTTTAAAATATTCCAATCAAAAGAGTTTAGTATGAGGTATGCGTTTTTCTTACTAACATGTACATTAATTCATTTTCATAACTCCTCTTTCCTTCACAGAAAAATTGGTTTAGACAACCGAAAATCACCGCACTCTTAGAGGATCTGTAAAGAACTTCCCGGCTACTACTCATGTTTCACTATTATTTTTCGGTAGCTTACCTTATGTGGCGAGATGTCAGGATTTGATGTGTAGAAGGCAGGTAAAGTAAAACCACCTCCCATCACTTAAATTATCAGTTCTGTACTTACAAAGCATATAAAGACGACTTAGGTTGTATCCCATGAGGTGTCCTATATGAACCACTGTAGTTGAAGATTATTGTGTCAGTTAGGCGAGTTTATAAATCGTTGAGAGTAACCCACTGATATCATTCTACAGATAGTGAATGAGGAAGTGAAAACTGTCAGCCTATGGTGTTGAGTCATTTGTTACTAGGAAGACACGACCTATAGGTTAATTGAGCTTCAGAACCCCACAAAATATCCACCTATCTTTATGCCTGAGATCTTTACTCCAAAGCTGTGGTCACCATAAAAAATAACGCGGTAACTTATATGAAAGCTCATTGACAAAAACTAAAAACTAAATACCCCATTAATAAACATCCGTGATGAAACGTTAAAATACTGTACATATCAAGGAGAAATAGTATACTCGGTTACTAGATAACTGACCTTTCAAGTATGACATGAAGCAGTTGATCAAAGATGGTTTAACAGCTATTTTCTTGGGTTTGTCGATAAAGCATAACATGAATCACCCAATCAAATACTTTTTAAATATCAAGATACAAGGTATCAAATTTATGCTTTAAACAGAATATACTAGTTCAGTTACCCACTAGAATCAGGTGATTCGTTATTAGGGTAAGACTCTTTTTGGAACCATCCCATTTAGGTTAAAGGACCTGTGAAATAAAATTGAACCTCGCCTAAATTCTCCATCAATTTGGATTCATACTTACTTTGAAAGAATAATAATTGACCCTTAAATGTTTTATCGAAATATCACGTGGCAAACTATTACTACTGCCCTGCCATAACCTACTTTTGTGTTAGTTTAGTTTGAGCTCCTGAATGCAGACAGCCTTTATGTTGGGTTCGATTTCTTCTTCGTGACAAGCGGTCTCCAAAATTAGTACTTAAATACAAACTCCCCATACAAGTTCTCTAAACCAGCTGTTGGATGAGAACTTTGATCATAAAGAAAGACGTTTAACCGGGTTAAACCGATTTAAAGGAGTATGCATTTACTCATATTCATATGCTTACGCCTCGACCAATCACATTCAGTAGTCATTGCGAGATTTCCGGTGATCAAAAAGTTGAATCTCAGTTGACCTTTCGTGCCGGAAGGTGACCCTCATTTTATTGATAGAAGAAACCACATTAGTAGTGAATAGGTCTTCATTTAGCTCATGAGACAGTCACAGCGGAGCAGACAAAACACACACCGCTTTTCAGTGTTCAGTATAAGATAATAGTAAATACAATGCTTATACAAAAAGGAAGTGAATGAATACTGGAGCCTTGTTTTTTGACATATACTTAGTTTTCACAGATTGAAATCATGAGTCGGTTGAAGCTAGACCAACATTGAAAACCTGGAAGCACTGAACGGCCGTTTCGTCCTAGTATGGTACTCCTCGACTAGTAGTGTTCGAGTAAAGAGCCTTCACAAGGTTCATGTACTTCTGAGGCAGGCCTTTAATGACAGACACAGAAACAGAATCTCGTGGTCTACGGAGTCAAATGCTGTTTTTAAGTAAAAAAACTATCATTGTCGGACGTCAATGAGCATGTTTGTGTTCTAGAACCTGCTGGACAACTTATTTTGATATGCATATCTGTCCTTATCATGAGTCCGTGCCAAAATATTCACAGCTTGGTAAAAATAAACGTATATCCTCTCTTTGTTAGTCACACCTGATAGTACCTTTTTAATGCGATAACGTTTAACCTAAAGTCAACCAGATGATTTCTGCGCGCCACTTTATTGGTGCTATGTAATGCTTCCAGATATTTGGTAGTATCCAATAAAGTTGGGTTAGTCAACTGACTGAACTTGGTAAATTCGACAATTATTTACGGGTCAATACATCATCTGTTTAAGTGAAGGTGTTTGTTCAAGGGCATTTAGGCTCATGAAACAAGTAGCTATTACTTTATGAGTCACGAGACTTGTAGGTAGCAGTATGGAAATTATAACGCTGGAATGAAATGAAGCTACCAAAATATGATTCTCAAGAGAATTATGGAAATTAATTAGTCAAAAATCCAATGAACTAAAACGTAAGTATAGTCAGTTGGGCGGGGATAACGGGAAGCGAAGTGGAGGTGGTAATTTGTAAGAACAATAACTAAAACTATTAACACAGTGATCATTTATGCATTGAGAGATATGCGTCAGACTAGACTATGGTGAGAAAGCGTGACCTTGTAGTGGCATTAGATGATAACCACACAATCTTCAAAACTAAATACGAGACTGCTTGGAAAATAGATATTCAATATTTAACGCGGAGAAATACCTAACGATGGAGAAGGCGCGAAAAAGGAATTGAATGAATGGGAGTTGGTTGGATGGCATGGCTCGGCCATGCAGGCGTGGTCCTTGTTGAATGTTATCTTATATCTTCTATTCATATTAAATATATTGTTCCTTCTCTAGTCTAACCTTGTTCTACATCATGTATTGGTAATTGACACGATACAGTGAGATGGTGTATTCAATGGTATGACTTCCACGTAAGATCTTATAGATTAGGCAGTTATATCATGACAAATCTACAAATTTAGGATTAGGTCTATTATTAGAGCAGTACTAATATCATAGTAGACCATAATTCTACAACCTTTCTTACCATTTCATATGGGATCAATTGAGGATTGCCTCGTGTGATGGGAGACTGGGTTCTAGGTAATAATTCCGGCCATGGTGACCGAAGATGCATAAAATGTCATAAACTACCATCAAGCTGCCTTTTATTCTTTTGTGTTATAACGAGAATAGTATAGGGCGGCGAAGTCAATCTCATATTTTAATAAAGCCATAAATAGAATTAATTGCATAATACTTCTCATATTTGTCCTCATCACCCGTCTCTTTATTGTAAGAGAGAGGACACAAAAGTACTGCAAATTTTGACATGAACGCATGCGTGCGTCTTAAAGAGTATCATATTCAGATCAGATGTATTGGCGTCCAGCTTTAATTGAGATCTGAGTAGCCACTTTTGATGAACTTGTCACAGTAAAAACTTATAGAGGAAACTAATATGAGTCATACAAGGTTTTGTTTGTGATTTTCGGGAGCTCAAGGGACACGTTCTTCGGCATATCACCATCGAGCTACTGGGCAACTATAACGTACTTCTCAGACGTCCGTTTAAAGATCTACCCACGGTAGTTTGACGAAAACCTAAATATTTGTTAAATGAACACCCGCAAACACAGACTTAATTTTAGTGGCCCTGTATCTGACTGCAGTCAGATAATAAACTGATTGTTGTCAAAATATACACGTCGCAAACCCTCGTATACTTTCATCGATTTAATTTATGTTAGGGAATAGCAGAACAAAATGGACAAATACTAGAATATAGTTCGTACACTCATTGATTTAAATGGACAACCTGAGAAACGAAGTGCGGGAAGCGAAGTGAAACCAGACAAGGTGAGGTGCAGAGAAGACGGCAAGTGAACCAACTCGTCTTGATCAAGCATGACTCAATATTTTCATTCAAACGAAAATAAATTAAAGACACGTAATGAATAGCGTAAGGAATCAACACACATACGATCATATAAAAAGTCAGGGATAATAAGCGAATAAGTAACAAGTTAAAAATATGGCTTGGGAATAGTGAATAAGCTGGTCGGACTTGGTATAGTACCAGACGCTACACGATAAGTGTTGATAGGCTAAAATCAGCCTATCTACATGATGAACCACCATATGTGGTATATGTATACCTGGGAGAATAATTTTAGAATCAACATGAGACAACGAGACCCATCCAAATACTAGTAACCAGATCAAGGGATCGTATGTTTAGTTCTAAAATTGCACAACATGTGTTTTAATATTTCACCAAGTAATAAATCTAAAAAACCAGAAAAATGGGACCGTTTTAGATGGTTGGTCCACAACGTCCGCACTATTTTATTGCCACTAAGAGGGTTATAAAACTTTAGAAGTCAAATGCAACAATTTCAGAGCAGTAGCATATACACGACCCGAAAGCCCATAATTCAAGCTGTCTCCTGGTTTTTGCCAAATACTAGGATTTAATATATTCCTATGCTTGTAGCCTAGCTTCACCGTGGCATTTACTTCACCGCTACACAGATGCTTTGACTTTACGGAAGCAGAATTTGGTTGATTTACCTTGCAGCAACTACCCATCGTGATTTAAAGACCGAACGATGAAAGCTCCATGACAAAACTACCCAGATCAGAGAACAAAACTTGATCAAATTCATTTTAGTAAAGAAAGGAATATGATTGACTGTGCTCATAAGTGATACTCTGCGGTTTATTTGACTCATATTTGACACTTAAAGACTATTCAGTACCTTATCATTGTACTCTTGAGCATATATTTGATGAGGTTCCAAGCAGACTTTTGAGTAAAGTGCACTCTGACAATATACATTGATTTCTTTACCATTGTAAAGCAAAGATGTGGTAAATTTGGCTGACATCCAGTCAGTAATTTAAGAAGACCCTGATATTTCCATATTGGTTAATGAATGGTAATTACGTTTCGTGGTTACTCAGCTCACGCAGTTGATCCACGGGGCCAACTTGTGAAGATGCTCCAATTCCGGATCAGTCTTTTAAGTTGCCATTAAATTTCATCTACTGAAAATGAATTAGTGGTGAGTTGTTCACAACAGGTGTTTGAATATTGTCATATAATGAACGTCTGACCTAGGACTCCCTTTAAAAGATTGTTAAGATGCCGTCTGATGTAAGTGGAGTTGGTTTCTGCGTCTTGAGGATTATTTTTTTTGCGATGTCATGAAATGCTTTCCTGTCATGCTGCGAGACGAAAACATCGTTGAGCAACAAAAATAAATTCATTGGTATTTATAGGCATGTGGACGGCTTTTAAGTGATAAAGAATGTGGTTTTTCTAGAAACTGATATCTGAATCATAAAAAATTAAAGAATTTTGTCTTTCAAGAAACAACAATTGCAAATAGATGTTCGAAACATCCTTTATTTGTTCGTTTCCTTTTTATTTTGAAGGAAGATATCTCCGTAACTACCTACTTTTGGGAGTTTGAAATAAAAATAATATTGTTAATTTTCACTTCGCATATGCTGTATGAGAATTTTGTAATAACTAAAGCCCATGTTGTTCGACATGGGATGTCTAGACGTTACATTATTCCAGTGTATTTTTTGTCATATCCATGTGTTTAGTTAAAGTGTTTATGATCATGACTGCTCTGAAAATTTGTATTTACTGTCATTTTGATGCGTTTTAGACCTCTAGTCTTTTCAAGGAACTAACACTCAAGGATGCTGAGAAAGCCTTGGCAGCGGATTTGGATTTGCTTGTTAATACCATACCAAATTCATCTCCAGAAAAAGAAGCGTTCATAAACCAAATGATATCTTTCAAAGAGTTGTTTAAGCAATATTTGCATGACAAAACACAAAAATTCGATTGGAATATGATGGAACCTGTCCCATCTGAAAGTGTAAGATGGTGTTTCTCTTGTTTTTAATCTTTTAGCTCTTCCTGGAGTTTCACAACTTTTCAACATAATTTATTAAATTTTACATACGTTAAGTTTGTAGAGTTGGGAAAAACTGTTCTTGATCTGATAACAGTGTTATACGTACTTTTGAAAATTTTCACTATATTTAATACTTTAGTCTAAATATGATTTAGTCATGGTTGCTTATCTTTAATAAATTTTGTCAAAACCCTACACAAATTTCTTTGATTAGTTTGGACCGAGAATGAGTATTCAAATTTATAGAATGAAGTGAATGAATTTCGCTTCTAGTTTTCTCCCTAGGTGCAAAGTACCTGAAGTTACAAATAGTAATGTTCTCATAAATGCAGGTGTACGTACCTTAGTCAATAATTATGTTCATTGTGATATTAATGTCTGCAGTTTTAGGTTATTTGATTATAATAAGAAAGTTTGGATTACAACGAGTTCACCTTATTCTGTGAATCCTGTTATTCTTGCTCTGCCTTGGAAGTAAATGTATCAGTCGACTCAAAAATTACAAAATTTCTACCACAGTTCTAAGTTTGCTGAAATACTACTGGTCACAAGAAATTTGTAAATATTCATTGTTTCATCTATTGAGGCTCTATTTTAACTAGTTCTGATGCATATCTAAAGCTTAAGTGAGACGTTGTAGGTTATAGAAGTGGTTAAACCAATTTACCATTACTGAACGTTGAACATTCGGTGAAACAATATCATCTCACAAAAGTGACACACCAAATATGATAAATCTTACCGAAACACAAAAGTATAAAATTGGTTTAGTAGTATATATGAGCGGTGCAACTTACGATTAAGAAACGTTTATTTAAAGGTGCCAGTATGATGAATAGAAGCAGTCAAACTTGATGAATTAACTAGTAATTCTCATGATCATCTAGCATCTACCTCAGTAATCATGAATCCACGAGTATTTAAACTGGAGGAAAAGTGATTTTTAACTTTAATTAGGCTCTTAGTAGTCTACTAAGTAACTGATGAAATACAAACACCACAAAGCATCAAGCTCATTGTACTATGTCTATAAAGACTATGAGTTGCTAAACCGATGCAAATGGGATAAAGCTAGAATCCATAACTTATTGAAAGGTAATCAATGTCTAGACAGCTTCAAAAACCTAAAATTAAACTGTTTATACATTTTCGTCAGCTTGTAATTACGAAATCTTACTACGAAATGTTCTGTATTTCTAAATCGATTATCATTGTTAATGGATGTATCTATCGTATTTACCAAAGTTTACGAAGTAAAATTACCATTAAGGTATGGTAATTTTGAGTTTTCGGTCGCACAATTGTTTTTTTTCACAATATGAAATTTACTCATTTTTATCATCCTTTACTTTAGAAAACAATCTAACTTATTTCTTGTTTAGCGTCTAAACTTTAGTATGTTATTTAAGTGTTTTTTTCTAATTTCCACATTTTCCAATATCTAGATTAAGATGTACGATGCCCTTCAAGTTCCTACCGATCGTGAAGTAATCCGTCAACAGTTAAATAAGTTAGTAGTAGTGAAACTAAATGGTGGCTTGGGCACAACAATGGGTTGTACTGGACCCAAATCCTTAATTTCTGTCCGGAGTAATCTTACTTTTCTTGACCTGACTGTACAACAAATCGAGGTGAGCTAAAAGAATAGAAAAGTTGTTCAATACTTATTGCTGTTATTATGCTTACCTGCATTTATATGGGACATAAAATCATATGCAACTGAACAAAAACCACAAAAAATGTATTCATCTTATTGCTTTAGTCAACTTTATTAGTAATAAAATTGTATCAAATATTTTAAAATATTCAAGCTCAATAATACAAATTATTAATCATGATAAGTGTACGATTATATTTGTTCTCAAACTTTAAGTCTTTTATTTCGCCAATTCACAAACCAAGAACCAAGAGCGCTGTTAATTACCAAACAAGTAACAAGTTAGGTTTATGATAAACTAAATATAAGCAACATACGGCTGGACACTATTTTTCTACATGTTCAAGTTACAAGAGTCAACATCAGCATATCTGGATGAGATTATCAATAAAGAAGCCAAAAGAATGGAAAGTTATTATACCCAAGTCTAGTTCTAACTTTTCTGAATAATGAAAATTCCTAGAAAATAAAAAGTACTTCAAAATAGTTAGAATTATTGAATTTTTTTCTCAAAACATTTTATAATAGCCAATTACATTTTTAACATAACCCGGATAATTCTAATGATAAACTACTGGAATGTCATATTATAAATACTTTCGACTGAACATGGTAAGGGTAGCTGAAAATCTCAATCAGCTTGTATTATTGATGTCTGGGTTATCTTTGAGTTGAAATAATACCATTGGAAGAAAGCAGTTTTAATACATAGCTACCTGTTTGTTGCAAATTGTAATTTGTTCTTAAAATTGAGTTAGCTACTTATTTCTAAGTTTACTACGTATCCTTGTCTGAGAAATGCTTTTGCACCTTAATTCATAGAAAGTCCCACTAGCGATCAACGTAAACACTTTTATATTACCTCCGTTTTAGAGACTAAACAATGAATACGGAACTAGTATTCCCTTGGTTTTGATGAATTCCTTCAATACACATAGTGAAACTGAAAAGGTTTTACGCAAATACCAGCAAGTTAATGTTCAAATTTTGACGTTTTTACAGAGCTGGTAAGTGATTTCATTATTAAATACAAAACTTTCTCTGGTTTACCAACGAAGTGAAACATTCTGACACTTTCAAGTTTTAGAATAAATGATGGACAATTTTTCGAATTCCATTTAGAGGACTTTTAACACAAACAGATTCAAGTCGAATAAACAATTAAAATGTAAGAGGTAGTAGGACTATAAAAAATACTTATCAATATTATACGCTTTTGTATCCTATTCCATTCATAAATTATTTATCTGAGAGGATTTGAACAATGTCGACTGAGTAAAATACAAACCATAGTTATTACCATTTTAAAAGTTTGACTATTTTTACTAATTAACCATTTATATTTTGGTTTTGAAGAAATAAGTCTTGTCACTTTTTCTTCGTTTAGCTACCCTCGTCTGAATCGTGAGTCATTACTTCCTATTGCTAAATGTGCTGGTCAGGAAAGTCATGATTCTGGAACAAAGACTTCTAAAGATATGAACTATAATCCTGAAGAATGGTATCCTCCTGGACATGGTGATTTCTATCGTAGTTTTGTTGCTTGTGGATTAGCAGAGAAAATGATAGCTATTGGTAAACAATGGGTTTTCTTGTCTAATATTGATAATCTTGGAGCAACTGTTGACCTAAGTATCCTTTCTTGATGACGGTAGTTATTTAAATGTTTTTTCAATACAAGTTATTTGTATCGTATTCAAGTTTTCCCGATTCTTAATTACCTAAATTTATTCGACAGGTTATAGATAAAGTTTAGATGAATATTCGTCAATGTTTAGAAGAACAGCTTGATAAAAATGAGTCAGTCAGTCCGTTAGTAACAACGTAGAACTTCGTACTTACTCACATCAGTTAGAGTTGCCAAACCCCATTAGCACAGAGATGCACTTGTCAATTCAAATTTCGTAGTGGTAGAGGTGGTAAGAGTATAAGCAGTAATCGGAAAGATTACGGTTTAAAGATGTTATTCAAGGAGTATAATCCAGTGAAACAAATTTGGAGAGAGGAAAAAAGGGACACGAAGAATTCAGATGATTACAATTAGGGAGAACACAAAGAGTGGATACACCTACGCCATTGCAAACGATTTTCAGCCATTTCATTCGGGGTCTCTAACCATCGGTTGCTATCGTCTCGCAGATCCCAACCAGGTAGTCTACACCTACCAACATGGCTCAGGCCACTTGTCAGTGACTTCATGGACTTGTGCCATGTTTTGGTTTGGCCGCTCCTATCTTTCTTCCAACTTACTCCTACACCATAAAACATCACACGTCGGGGCAGTCAATGGTATAAAACTTATATTTAAGGTAACGCCAGCAACTGAAATTCTAATCATTTTCAATGTTTAATGTAGAAAGCTTCTCAAAACCAAATTGTTGGGTAAATAACTTATAACATGTTAAATTAACCACACAGTCGACCTTTTTTAACCCCATCCATCCTTGTGGGAAGACAGCATCACTGTTATGTTGGTTGTCTGGAGGAAACACCTTACTACCGTCAAGCCTCTGTACAGTCAGTAGTACGACTTTGCCTTCGAATCTTTGGGTTGTTGCTTTTGGTCTTTTCGCTCTCCAGCCAACCTGTTTGGCATGATAGGACCTTGAGGAACGATTGTTCCAGCTCGATTGGTTTATCACGATAGGCAAGCTCGACTGCCACATCAAGGTAGTAACAATGATTGGGTCACTGAAGAAGTGGCCTACACCAAGTTACGAAATATTCAGAAAAATAACTTCATTGTTGTCATTTCTTTTCTATAAAATATAAATAGTTAAATAGACAATAACAACTTGTTATCTCTATTAATTCACTTTATTATAAATTTAAATATTTTATAAAACTATTTTCCTTAATTTCTATGTATTTTAAAGATATTTTAAATTTTTTAATGAATAAAGAATCACATTATGATAAACAATCACCAGAGTTTGTTATGGAAGTAACTGATAAAACACGAGCTGATGTTAAAGGTGGTACATTAACACAATATCGTGGACATTTGAGACTTTTAGAATTAGCTCAGGTATAATTTTATTTTATTTAATGATTATATATTTACAAAATTTGAATATGATGAGAAAACAAAAAGCTTAAAATTCCATTATGAAAAACTTATCATCATCATTGAAAATGTTCATTTGAATTGTAGGTCCCTGAAGAACATGTGGATGATTTTGCTAGTGTACGAACATTTAAAATATTTAATACTAATAATCTATGGATTGATTTACAAGCTTTACATCGTAGTGTTAAACAAAAAACTTTACAAATGGAAATTATAGTCAATCCTAAAACATTAGATTCTGGTACAAATATATTACAATTAGAAGAGGCTGCAGGAGCTGCTATCAAGTCATTTAATGGTGCTTTCGGTAAGAATAAATTATATGTGGTTATAATGTTCTTGACTATATTGATCACTTAGAAAATCAATTACTTGATATTGTACAGTATATCTTACGAATTAAAACATTCACTGTTGTTATGTTTGTGTTTGGGGTGCTATGTGTTATGTACTTGCTAGCTCTTTTCTATCTATAATCCTATTGCTTATGATTGGAAATAGGACCTATTGAAGTTCCCATGAAACAAAGTAAAAACAAAAAGGCTGATAGAAATGAACATGAAAAATACTGAAAACAAGTTATCAAAATAGGTCATTTAAAATTATACCAACATTAAACTAAGGACACTCATTGACACAGTAATTTTAAATGAACATGATAATGAGTTAGTAAACACCATATAAATGAAACGTTAACCAGATTTACTGTAAAGCACATACAAAATTCACACATAATAATACATAGAATATAATTGTTATATTAGATCAAAAGTTCACACTTGTCATACTGAATGAAATAAACACTTAATTGGTACACATATATTAAGCTGAAGTAATGTTACACTAGAAAATATAAAACCAATATCATACTGATCGAAATTTCACTTGGAATAAAATTAATTTCGCATATTGAAATCATGAGTCAGTTGAAGCTAGACCACCATTGAAGACCTGGAAGCACTGGACGGCCGTTTCATCCTAGTATGGGACTCCTCAGCAGTGCGCATCCACGATCCCGCACCACGCGGGGCTCGAACCCAGGACCTACTGGCTTCGTGCGCGAGCACTCAACCACTAGACCACTGAGCCGGCATCCAACGGTGTTAGTGTCTAACTTCAACCAATCCATGAAGTTGCGCCACCGTACACCATTGTCTTCAGTGAGTTCCTATCTCACAACAGACCTGGTTGAACTCCACTGGTAACGGCTTCTCACTAGAACTTCGAGAGTTTTTCCTGAAGTCAGTCACTAGTGAGCAGTTGATTATTATCAGGATGGGTTTTGTGGAGATTTTAGAAATTTCACAGATTGAAATGATGAGTCAGTTGAAGCTCACTGAAGACAATGGTGTACGGTGGCGCAACTTCGTGGATTGGTTGAAGTTAGACATTAACACCGTTGGATGCCGGCTCAGTGGTCTAGTGGTTGAGTGCTCGCGCACGAAGCCAGTAGGTCCTGGGTTCGAGCCCCGCGTGGTGCGGGATCGTGGATGCGTACTGCTGAGGAGTCCCATACTAGGATGAAACGGCCGTCCAGTGCTTCCAGGTTTTCAATGGTGTTATAAAATGTTACTATGGATTAAAGAATATATGAACTCGCCTTCTTATCCCAACTTACCCACTATTGATTTAAATAAGATATTTCGGTCCACGAATATTATACCGAATGTAAAATGAGGTGGGCGATATGTTTTAAATATCGTTAATAAGTTATATTTAAATGATGATACTGTAGTGAACAGAACACCAATGGGGACAAACGAAAGTGCTTGACAGAGAATTACAAAACTTGTTAATAAAATCTAACAATCATATAGTAAATGTTTAATTTGCAAGATGTCCATCAATTGTCTTAAAATGAATCAGACTTCATCGTTCATGCATTTTCATACAAATTGTATTCTGTTTCCATTCTTTACTATTGGATCCTCTTGTCTCTCTTATGCTAGATATTCGGTTCCTGACTAACATCATATACTACTTATGTTGATATAAGTAGCACACACAATACTATCGAGTCGATTGCATTGATTTGAAGAAAAAAACGATGGATAATTAGTTACTTTGATGGTAGTTTATATTTAGTCAAATTAACTATCATATTACTATACATGTCATTCTTTAAATGAAAATAGTTCATTCATGGATAAACTAATGTAATTACAGAACAGGATTACCATATCTAAGAAGTTTTCTAGTGTTACTTAAGGAGAAACTGTAAACTTTACCCCATGATAATAATATACACATTTTGGTTTCATTTCAAAGATACAATTTTACTTACATTATTTCATTTATAACCTTAATAATTATCATCTATTTTCAGGTGTTAATGTTCCACGAAGTCGTTTCTTACCAGTTAAAACTACTTCAGATTTATTATTAGTAATGTCTAATTTGTATGTATTAGATGGTGGAAGTTTATCATTGTCTCCATTAAGAAGTTTTCCATCTGTGCCTTTAGTAAAACTTGGTAATCATTTTAAAAAAGTTAAAGATTTCTTAAGTCGATTTACAAGTATACCAGATCTACTGGAATTGGATCATTTAACTGTATCAGGAGATGTATACTTTGGAAAAGGAGTAGTTTTAAAGGTAATGTTTAGATTGAAAGTAACTGTATTATAGTTGTTTTGATTTTTTATAAAATATAATTTGAACTTTAATAGTATTATGTACAGAAAACAAGGTTTATACTATTATGTTTAATCAAGTGGTAACCGTGTGAACTTTCCTAAACAGTATCTTATGAGATGTAAACAAGTAAATAAAGCGGAAAACATGAGAAGTAATGGGATCGATGTATGTTTATCTTAATGTTAGATGGTTAGAGATATTGAGAAAAATACCTTGGACACAGGTCTCATTAATAAGGCGTACTTGTATTCCTATGGAAATTGGTACTCTCTTAAATATTATTAATAAGCTATTCAGCCTACGACTAACCTATAAAACTTAAATATTTACGTTACGTGATCACCAAGTAGTAACCAGTAACATGTCAAATCACGTAGACTAGTAGCCACATCATAATTCGACTGATAGAATTAGATGTGCAGAACTAAATGACCACTAGAGAAACAGGACATTGATCACTATTACGTGATTAATCAATCTATGTTAATCTACCTTTTATTTTGAACGGTATTCACAGTAAAACCTAAATTTTAAAGAACAGATTCGCTTGAAACGTCACGCATCATACTTGATGCTTGTATAATAGCAAGTAATTTGGGTTTGAAGAGCAAGAGACAATTAAAATACACTTACATAATTTCGATCACTAGATATTGTTTTTAACGTGTTCCCTAGAAGATTTTCATTTCTGTTCCAAAGTCTATGTGATTTATTTCGAATGAAATAGAATATAAACCAGTTTCAAACTTTTTTAAATAAGAGGTTGTGCTCATTAAAGACTTATGTCAAGCAGTGATTCTCGGAAGTCTGAAGTAAAGTTGTGACCAGTGGAGTTCAACCATATCGATTATGAGGCATTTATCCACTAATGACATAGAAAGGTTTGGGTAATTTTTCTGGTTAGCGTTTTTTAGCGAGTTAGTTTTTTACGGGACGGGGTCGCTAGCCTCATGCCTAACCCTCCTCCTTAATCCTGGCTTGGGACCGGTAGCAGCCCCTGGAGGGGCTCTAGGCGGATCCATGAACACGATGGATCCGATGCAGATGTGAAGGCGCGGATCAGCAAAACAAATGCAGCGTATGTACAACTAAAGAACATCTGGAACTCAAAACAACTGTCAACCAACACCAATGTCACAATTTTCAATACAAATGTCATGACAGTTCTATTGTATGGGGCGGAAAACTGGACAACCACTAAAGCCATCATCTAGAACATACAGGTGTTTATTAAAAGTTGTCTACACAAAATACTTCGAATCCGTTAGCCAGACACTATCAGCAAGGACCTACTACGGGAGAGAACATGGCAGATTCTAGCGGAGGATGAAGTCAGGAAGAGGTGATGGAACTAGATGGGACACATACTGATGAAATCACCAAACTGCGTCACAAGGTAAGCCAAAGGAGAAGAGGAAGACCAAAGAACACATTACTTCGAGAGATGGAGAAAGACATGAGAAAAATGAACAACAATTGGATAGAACTGGAAAGGAACGAACGCAATAACGCGAATTAATTGAAGTTACATATATGAACAGTTGAATGACTGTTCAGTGATCTAAAGGTTACACGCTCACCATTATATCTGAGAATCATGAGTTTGATATATAGTGGGGTTTTAGAAATGCATCATTGAGCAGTTCCGATGCTAGGATTAAACAAACTGTCCACTGCCTCTTGGTTTTCATCGATTTTCTTACTAAGGTCAGTGTATGATGCTAATAGTAAAATTCACGTTTTCATCTGTCTTGCGTTACCTACAGCCGCCGCCTTTTCCATCTATCTTGCTTTCGTTGCCCACCACTGCTCACGATCATTCCTTAGACTTTTGCCTAACTCAGATCTGATTTGTTTTCGCTCTTCATCGTGTTCAGAAACTGAGTGGATGAGTCTACAAGGATTCATTAGTGTAATAGACTTAGACGAAAGCCATTTTTTAAAAAATCTTTGGTTTAAAGCACTAACAGATGTCACTGCTGTTTGTATATCTATCCAAGCAACATCTGGATCAGCCTCATTTTCAGGACTATCTAAGTGTGACCTCAGTTGTTCCTGAAACCTAATTTTGGTTTTCTCATTACTCAATTCAATTCTAATGGATCTTCTTAGTGTGGCTTTACTGCGTCCAGTAAGATGCAAGCAGATACATACGTGCCCGTATTAGAGTATGATCGAAGTCCAAGCTAGTATTCCACAATGAGCAAAAATCTTCTATCGACCCTCTCTAACGATGATTGTGATGACAATATGGTCTATTTGAGTTCATCGTTGGTTTGTTTCAGGGGGGTTAACATGAACTGATAAACATATATGCCTGATCCAACGTTATAACTGATTTACTGATTACATTGATAACAATTGTTTGCTTTTTTTTTTCTTCTATAAAACAAATTTAACAAAACAATCGTTTGTGTAAAATTCTTTCTTCTTTTTGTTTTACTCTTTCAGGGTACAGTGATTATAGTTTCTAATTTTGGTAATCTTATCAATATACCACCAGGTTCAATATTAGAAAATAAAATTGTTTCAGGAAATCTACGTATATTAGATCATTAAATAATTTCACATTGAAAGTCAATTTAAAGTTATTAATTACACTTCTATTAATAGAACTTTATATTTGATTATGTTTGTGCTTTCATTATTATTATTTAGTATAATTCCTTATTCTTATTTATATAATTTCATTTCACTTTACCTTAATATATTTACTGTATCCTTATTATTATTATCTAAACTAATTTAGATATACAATTTTCATATTATCTTAATGAAGGAAGTGATAATCCTTTTTTCTTTTCTTTTCTTTTCTTTTCTTTTTCATTTTGTTTTCAAATTGTAAGTAGGAAACATTACAAATTTAAATATGATAATAATAAGAATAATAATATTTGTCTTTTTTTATTGAAGACTAGTTTTATTGATTAACATTTAAGTTGAACAAATTCTATTAATCAAATATTTTTTAAATGAAGTTTTGTTCTCTGAAATAGATGGTTTAGTTATGAAGATTTTACAATATTCTTCTAAACGATATCATCAGTACAAATTTTAGGGTAGAAGTGAAATGTTCGAATTTTTCTACATGTAGCTCACAATTTGTCTTGTATACCTCGATGTTGATTGATTCTTGTTAACTTTAAACTTGTTAATGTTTACTTGTTTATTTTGGTTGTATCTCTTACATCAATATCGAGATGTATAGGATAAACTGTGAACCACATGTAGAGAAATTTGGTGACGTTCAGAAGAAAGATATAAGCTCTATGACGAAATCATTCAGCTCAGAGAATAAAACTTCATCAAAATGATCCATCTGAGCTACAAATCTTCTTCACCATTTCAGAATTAAACATTTTATTGCCAGCTTAAGTGTATGATGAGTAACTAACTCTAATATCATTGTGTGAAAAGATTTGCCGATTTTGCATCAGTTATTCTTAACAAGATGTATAATAAGTAAGGGATATTCTTTAGTTTGGATATAAAAAATTATGAGGTTAATTTTTGCTTCTTTGATTTACTTTCAAAGTGGATAAGATGTATTAGGTGTTTGAAATTCTGAACTTAGATTAGACATATCTGTAATTTTCTTATTAGAAACTTGTCATCTTTCAGTGACTTAAACTGTTGATATTAACCATTAGTTTTTGGTTTGAATATTATGCCAGTTATACTTTTATAAATAGTACTGTGTCATTGTTACTTACTTACGCCTGTTACTCCTCGTGAAGGAGCATAGACCGCTCACCGGCATTCTCCATCCATCCCTGTCCTGGGCAATCTTTTCTAGTTCCGTCCAGTTGTAATTCATCGTTTTCATATCTGCTTCTATTATCCGACGCAATGTGTTCTTTGGCCTTCCTCTTTTTCGCTTCCCTTCAAGATTCCAAGTTAGGGCTTGCCTCGTGATGCAGATTGACGATTTGCGTAATGTATGTCCTATCCATTTCCATCGTCTTTTCCTAATTTCTTCTTCAGCTGGAAGTTGGTTTGTTCTCTCCCACAGAAGGCTATTGCTGATGGTATCCGGCCAATGGATGTTGAGTATCTTGCGTAGACAGCTATTTATAAATACTTGTACTTTCTTGATAGTGGTTGTTGTAGTTCTCCAAGTTTCAGCTCCATACAGTAGAACTGCCTTGACGTTGGTATTGAAAATTCTCACTTTGATATCGGTTGAAAGTTGTTTTGAGTTCCATATGTTCTTTAACTGTAGGAATGCTGTCCTTGCTTTGCCAATCCTTGCTTTTACGTCGGCATCTGAACCTCCTTGTTCATCGATGATGCTTCCTAGGTATGTGAAGGACTCTACATTTTCCAGAGTTTCGCCATCAAGAGTGATTGGATTGTTGTTTTCCGCTTTGAATTTGAGGACTTTGGTTTTCTCTTTGTGTATGCTGAGGCCTACTGATGCAGAGACTGCTGCTACACTGGCACTGTGTCATTGTATTCAGTCGAATTTTGTTGATATTACTAATCTTGTTTCTCTCTATATGTGACGTAACGATAATTATAAGGATAGATTATTTTCGATATTTTGATTCATATCACTTATTTACAGTTCAATCTATGGTGGGATTAATATAGTTAAACACAGTTACATCTTCATAATGTTGTAGATTGATTTTGAATGCACTTATTCGAGTAGATTATCAAAACTGTTTAAGTATGATATTTGCGCCTGACTCAAATATAAGTGCATTTTTTCACAGTGCTCTAGTTATATATTTAATTATAATTTGTACAGTATCTCCTTATAGTAACGCAACCATGTTAGTTGAGCTACTACTAAGAGGTTATGATGAACCTGGAGGCAGTAAGAAAATATGGATACTAAGTAGTGGGATTTTCTGATCGAAACTAAGGTTATATGTGGTACACTTAAATGTATTATTACCGGAAAGTAACATACGTAAGTTTTTGTGTTGGGGGGCACTGAGTAACCCAGGGTAAATCATGTGTAATTTAACATGGATAGTGATTATGATGTACTGTTGTCTTCGAAGAATTGTCAGCGTACAGTCTCCAATCACTGGTGGTTTGTAGGTTCAGTGTTCATTATATGACAGAACGTTTTGATAAAAATCTCGAGGTATTCCCATACTAATACCCACAACAGTCTTTGTGACAAACACTTAGTCACGTCAGTTTTTTAAAAATAAAAATGCGGAATGAACTAATAATGAAGCATAAGCGTTGGTTGGAATATATTGATCATTTTTATAAATTTCAATAGTCGAAATCCTGGGTCAATTGAGGCTAGACTACCATGGAAAACCTGGAAACACTAGATAGCCGTTTCGTCCTAGAATGGGACTTCTCACCAGTGCGCATCCAGGCTCGCACGTGAGACTGATAGGTCCTGGATTCAAATCTCACGGGGGCAGGATCGTGGATGCACACTGCTAAGGAGTTCAGTGCTTCCAGGTTTCCCATGGTGATCTAGCTTCAATTAACTCATGATTTCAACTATTGAAATCCCTTCTGATAACATTTTTATAAACTCAGACTCAAAGCAAATATCAATTAGTTTTATCTACGATAGATCAATCAAATTAAAATACCATATTAAGGTTTCATTGTCTCCCTATTATCTGTTATATACTTGATGATTCTGATCTGATCTAACTAGAGGTAAGTAAGTATCTTGACCTGACCTCCTTAGTTAATAGCAAACGTTTTTATTTAAATTTTTATATGAAAGTTGATTTAGTTTTTGATTCATTTATTTTGACTGTAATCACTTTTATAAACAAAGAATAACTGTCATTTTTATCAATTTGTATGATGTGGACAAAGGTAATTCAAGTAGTGAACTGATCATTATACAGATTGTATATTTATAATTTATGCCTACTTTAAAACGAATAAACAATTTTAATAGTATTCGTAAATTTATCTAAACAGTATAAAAGGGTATGAGAGAAAAAGTTTTCATTATTTCAATTATTAACACATCTACTGTAATGTTTTCGACTTTATTACTAATCATATACATCTAATAACTGGATTGAAGTCTTATTCAGTTTAGACTTTAACAGCTCAACAATATATTTTGCACATGATTACCAATAATGAGTTGATTATATCAAAATTTGTATTATAGAACGAAATCTGACATAAGTAGTTTTCGATATTACAAAAATGAAAGATAAGAATTATACCTTTAGTAAATATCAAATGACGTTTGTTGGCTAATGTTTTATATTTTGAAAACATATACATATGACTTTATTCCCAATGATATCCTATTAAAGATGTTTGATCATCGATTAAGTAGGTCACATAATAGTAATAGTGTGGTGCGTGCTACTTATATTGATATAAGTAGTATATGACGCGAGTTAAAAGTGCAATGTCTGACAGCAGAAGATGGAAAAAGATCAAGAAAGGAAGAGTGATAACACAATGCAATTTGTAAGAAAACGCATGAACAATAAAATGTGAGACAATTGATTGATGTTTGCAACAAGAACAGTTCATGTTGATATGATGGATTGATATTTTGAAAATTAACGATTACTATATGGTTTTTCTATTTTAACAAGTAACTCAGTAATTTTGTGCTAAATACGATTCGGTTGTCTTCACCTATGTTCTCCTTCACTACAATAGTACAGAGTAGTAATATAATATTGTTATGACGTTAAGTTGTTGTGGTTGATTTTTACCCTGTGCTAATTGTTGTGTCCTTGACTGAAAAAACTAGGGAGCAGCGTATTTATCGACCGATTCAATGACACGTAAACACGTACGAACGTAATGAACGACCTAGTATTACGATTGGTCCCGATTCCCTGTCTATCCCAGCCAGTTGAGTCCAGAACACAAATCTCAGCCTCTGAGATATGAATCATTGTATTTCAGACATACTCTATTTATATACTAACCAAACATACCACATCGTACCATAAAAATAGAAAACAACATTTTGTACCATATTCAACAAGTGGACAAATATCGGCCAGTAGGAAATGCCCATTTAAAGTCCAAGGACACCATCGGACTTAACATTATAATTATTGGTCTATCCTTCCGCATCCACAACAAATATACCAATGGAAATGAGCTTAAAATGATGAATTCAAAAAGACAGTAAGGAAATATATACATATTTATTTATTTATTATGCAGATGAAACAAAATCAAAGTGAATCCAACCGAATTCACAATTGAATTTTTGAAAATTTCAGTAACTGTGCAAATATAAAGTTTTAAATTGACAACGGAAATTGTTTTTTTTTTTTAAGATTTAAGGAATTTTCTTTGTTATTTCTTCCCAATTTAATCTAGCCATATCTCCGCAAACATTTAACAAACATTGAGCTTGATTTCTTGAAGTTGGTCGAAGAACAACAACTTCACTTAAATGATATGATAATAATGCATTTCCACCTAGGCTAGTTGTATGTGCTCCAACAACAGCTTGTACTTCAGTTAAACTTGTATGCAAAAAACCCGATATACCACCAACCTGTAACATAAATAACGTTTGTAAATTTATTCAAATAGTTTAGATTTTACAAGAAAGAAATATGGAAAATTATGTAAAAAAAAGTCATTGAAAACAGAGGAAATTGCTAGGTGTAGCTGTTTGGTTTTTGATGATATTTCGCAATAATGTGTAGGCTGATGAACTCAGATAGAATCGAATCTAAGAATTATGTAGGTCTCAATGTTAATGGCCTGATATCTAACAAAATCATTGAGTTATGGGACACAGTTTTTGATATATCTATGTACGCTAATTAATCATTACGGAGTGATCAATATCATGTTTGTCTGGTACTACAATACTGGACGAATTCTATCGACCAGCTTGCAATGTGGCAGCTAGTCTAAGTGACTCAACATCGCGTTATGATATTAGGTGGTGGGTAGTTAGGAAACTTTGTTTGGCTTAGATTTTGTGCTAGTTGTCACTAATCTGGAGATGGAATCTTGAGGGAACTGGTGGTTTCCGTGAGATCTGGACCGTCGTCATTTAGCTACTCAAGCTGTAACTGACCTCTAGGGTTTCCTGATGAATATTTCCAACCACACTGAGGTTTTGTTTAAGGAAATCAAATAGTCTCTTTATAAAATCAATTCACAGACATATTTTAATTCGTAATGAGTACAAACATTAAAATTAATATATTGTTCGATAGAAGACTATTCCAGTCAATTCACTTGCATAATGAAAGTTAATCATAAAGTGAGTTAGTTTAAGTATACGTAATTTACCATGAACACAAAATAATCAGTGAATAAGCATTCATTTCGGAAAAAAGCAATAAGCCAATAATATGTCATCATTAATTTTACAGTTGTCTAAAATAATCAATTTTGACACCACCGACCTCTTTCATACTGTAATGTGTGTAATATGTGCCTAGTCCTATGTTGTAACTGACTAACTGACTGACACTGTAATGTAGTATAATTTCGAACAATATGACAATTATAACACCAGTATAGGGGTTGTGGAGATTGTTAAGTTTTGATTGAGATCATGAACCGATTGATGTTAGACCACCATTGAAAATCTAGAAGGACTGGACGGCTGTTTCGTCCTATTGTGGGGCTCCTCAGTAGTGCGCGTCCACGATCCCGCTCGCTGGATTCGAACCCAAGGCCTTCAGTCTTGAACGCGAACGCTTAACCTACTGGGCCACTGAGCCAGCATCCAATGGTGTTAATGTCTAACCTAAACCAATCCACAAAGTTGCGTTCGCGCGCGAGACTGAAGGCCTTGGGTTCGAATCCAGCGAGCGGGATCGTGGATGCGCACTGCTGAGGAGTCCCACAATGGGACGAAACGGCCATCCAGTGCTTCCAGGTTTTCAATGATGGTCTAACATCAATCGGTTCATGATCTCAATCAAAATTATAACACCGTTATATTTATAGTTTATTTTTAATAATTAACGTTAAAAAATATATTAGTAAGAAAAGGAACTTACTTCTCTTAGATCAGTCGTTTCTCTAACAAAAAAGAAATCCAAATTACCAAGATAAGCTTCAACATATGTATTCGGTATTGATGACAATGGTGTAAGTATACAACCGGATGTATGTTGTTTATCGATGAATTGTTGTTTACATTGTTTTTGTTCAGTTGGGATATCGTCATTATTTATCATCATTCCATCAGTAGTCCTCTTAATAATAAGAAAACAAACACCAGATATTGTTATTTATTTATTTATTTATTTAAACACATAAACATTGGTGCAAGGAGGCTCAAAATACATATGCGCCACATAAATCATTCGATATGTGTGAGGGCTGTGATACTGTCCGGGTGCCCAAACCGGAGCAAGTGGTTTTCTTAGGGGGCTACATTCCGAGCCTTTGACCTGAAGGTCTGACCCACAAGGCAATGGGAGAATCGTGAGGAGACGCAGTCCCATGGTAGCCGGTGACCAACGATTGGTTTATACGCCATCTGTTCCCGCAGGATACTGGAGCCCATGTGCACCATTGGTTTGGGATCCGGTTAAAGCGCCGGACATTCGCTTTTCGTCCTCTCAATTTCATAAACAACTATAATGCCGCGAGAATGCAGTGAGTAGGAATTTCCTGGCAGAGGCTGCATACGCGTACCAGATATTGTGGAAACAATTTTTGTGTGAAATCTAATGTGGATTAAGGATAATAAATTACCCTGATTAAAGTACCATTATTATACTAGTAATGCCTGAAATATATGATTCATCAGGTGATATAATATTACCTAACTGATATTAAGTTATTTTGATATTTTAGAATATTCTTTAGAATATATGATCAATTAAACGAATAAGCTAATGGCTCATAAATTAAACACATTCTGTTCAATGGTGTGAAAACACACTGTAGGATTACAATTACACGAAGAAACGGAAAGATGGTTACCCACAAAACGTCATCAAGATATAATTAACATTATCAATAGGAAAAACCAGAAAATGGATAGTACTGTCTTACACACAGGATTTCTGTGCAACGAAAATAGATTATCAATACAGCTAGAACTAAGAGTTGTCTATAAGGTCATAGAATCTCTACAAGCAATGTTATGGAAGTTATGGAATACAAAGACAATTCAGACATCATTTATAAGATAGACCTCAGTAAATTTCAGGATTACATAAGACAAAATAGCTATCCTCTATCTCTGAGTACATATGAACACCCGTTAACTGTTAAGTACCACGATGTAGCTTCGTCTATATCAACATATGTGGACAACTATTAACATGAGTTAGACTAGAAAAGCATTGAAATATTGGACAGAGAGAAACACAAAGAATGTCATGAAATTATTAAAAGTCTGACGTTCCAGTCACGCATCAATCAACAAGACATATTGGAATCAGAATATATTAAGTAATCGAATCAATCTTTCTTATTTTTATATCAAAATCGAAGGAATTTACCAGTCAAAAAGAAAAACAACTTGAAGGTTAAATATCAGGTGGAAAGAAGAAAAAATCGAAACGAACATGCGAACAACAACTACATGATTGTGAACAACAATAAATCAAACATCAGATAAACAGAACGAGATGTTAATTGTAGAGTTCTAATAGTTTACTTCTTTTTGAAGTATGTACTGATGGTGTTGACTAAAAAGACAATGAATACTTCACGAATAAATCATCTAGATTAGAGAACATAACAATCGAAAATATCAGTATTTTATCATTTTGACCAAATACACAAGGCAGAATAACAATAATTAAATTCGTATATGATATGTCAACTTAATGATATAACATATTATTACAGTGGCTTGTTACAATTGCAATTGATTTAGACGAACTAATGATTCGATACAAAAATGTATGTATATGTAATACAGTGAAATAGTAGTTTTTGAGGATCGCAAGGGATTTGTATCAAAGTTCTGTCTTAGAAATGTCGTAATCATCTATTTACTACTAACTGATGTTATGATAAAATTATCTTTCCATTCAATTTTGTTAATCAAGATATGCTTACAATCTAGCACCTTTTAAACTAAAAGAATAATGCACAAACATCTTAGAATCACCTAGATCATATTCAGTGAAAGATAGAACACTCATTTGTTCAAAGTTTCTCTTGATGTAGTATTGTTATAGTTATACTGATAGATCAATGAGTAGTAAACAATGTCGTGTTATTAAAAAAGTATGTACACACATAATGTGCAGTATCTGTTGGCCGAATACCATCAGCAATAACATAATATGGCAGATAACAAATCCGCTTCCAGCTGAAGTGGAATTTAAGGAAAGACGTTATAAGTGGATGGGAAACAGACTGTGAAAATCATCAGACTGCATCATGAGGCAAGCGCTAACTTAAAATCCTGAAGGTAAACGGAAAAGAGGGGGAAAAAAGAACACACTGCGTCGGGAATTGGAAGTAGACATCAAAATGATGACTAGCAATTGGAAATAACTGGAAGGGATTGCTCAGGACAGAGTTCGCTGGGGAATGCTGGGAAGAGGTTTATACTTCTCCCCACAAGAGTTAACAGGCATAAGTAAGTAAGAATATGAAGGTGGGGTAGACGATCTTTTTGAAATTTTACTGTTGTTGAAAATATCATTATTTTGATGAAATAAAGCTCATAGCACAAAAGAAAACATCAGTTTGTACAAGACAATTCTAACATGTTAATTACAGGAAAAATTGACTTATCATTATAAAATATGATCGAATTTTATTTAGTAATTAAAAACAGTCAACAATATATAACCTGAAACAAATCAGATTGTTATATTTGAATTACTTGACAGTATAATTAATCTGTTAAACCCAATGGAATAAACTATTTTATGAACATTATAAACAGAGATGGATAGTGGCTAGCAGTGGAATCCAGGACGCGCGTTTCGTCCTGTTTGGGACTCGTCAGCTGGATGTACCTGCATCTCAGAGTTGATGTTCACTCTGGGACTCAATGGGAAGATTCAAATAAAACAATATCAAGTAAATTATTTTATGAACATTTTCAGTTCAGCATCATTTTATATCGTTCAGTTTTATTCAACTGGATTATAGAGAAAATGAAACGTATACTTTATTTAATTGTATCAATAGTATATTAAATACGAAGTTGATGTAACAACTTGTTAGATTATAAAGTTAGTTACAATGTATAGTTTTCTCTAAGAATTTTAACAATATTAATATATGGATGAAGTAATAGGCATATTTATAACACGATATATATAATCCATGATCTGTTCAGTGTTCAATAACTAACTTATAGAGTATTCATTAGATAGGACATTTACAAATGACTGATTAGTAAGCAGTAACCAGTGCTATTTTTATGTAGCCCTTTTTGATATTAATCAGGTTTTCAATTAGATCCTCATCAGGCTTTACTCTAATATACAGTAATATTTATATGTATATACGAAAGTATTAAACCAATCAAGGTAGTTTGAGCCAACGATAACAATGAAGACGACTACATAATAAGTGTAAAGTACAAATTGATAGTGTGGATGAAACCTTGAGGGACTTGATGTTCCTTATGGGATTTAAATGTGAGTTAAGCAATCTGGATGTCTAAAGAGTTACCACAGTTATTCGAGTCATCTCAGACTGTGAATCTGGGTGGTAACATCAATTTCTTCAGGATCCCAGGCAAACACTTGTTGGAGAGTGCCAAATAAGACAAAATCTAGGTGAAGAATGGTTCCCTGCAGACTACTACAACTACTGAAAGTCAAAATATAGTACATAAGGTTTCGATCAACACTAAAGACTAAATAAACATGAAATCGGTCACCATTCAATAAGTAATAAATTGTAAGTGCTCTTTCCAATAAACACGTGATCCGATTTGCTAATATTTTAGTGAAAACTGAAAAAAAGCCATCACGAGGCTCATGAAATATTGATGGGTATTTATGTAGATTACACTAGAGTTAAACAGCATTTTAGTGATCTGTAAACATCGCAACGATGATACAAGGGTCAAGAAGACGATTAGCGTTCTGTATTAATAGAAACAACAAACATGTGCAGTCTTTTGTGCATTTTGATAACTAATTTATAGTGTCTGTTATTATGTTAAGCCCATATACCTTATTCTAGCTTTCGAACAGGTCAATCTACTCATTCTACTTGAGTCATATTTTGACCTTATTAATTATTCGCTTATCAATCTTGATTGTTTTTATTTGAGTGTATATGTGTGTACACGTCTTATCCCGTTCATCAAATGTTTGTAACTTATTTTTGTTCGACTATAAATATTGATTAACGCTTGGTTAAATGGAGTTGGCTTACTCGCCATCTTCAGTAAACGTCGTTTCACTTCGCTTTATTCCATTCGCTTCATATACAAAATATATATATTCGAAATCCAATTCTCGTCATTTGCTTTATTTAATTCCGTTATTGACTAAGACGATTTAAGTCGATGATTATATACGAGGATAGGCGACATATATATTTCGACAGCAATCATTCAATAACAATCATTCATGCGATTTACTTGGAGTCAGACCCAGGGCCACTAAAAGTTCACTACCTGGATAATTGTTCATGAACTGAATCTAGAAAAGTCGTTTGTGAACACAGTTTTAGAAAAATTGGGAATGACAACATGGTAGTCCATTCCTGATGATTTCTAAGGAAGCAGAGGATTGTGAACAAGATTGACATATCTTAAACTTTGTAAAATAGTTTTTACGACTTCAACTGACGTATTAATTGAATATACTACGCAACATATAAAATTTATAATACATAAACAGATAAATAAACTTACTTTGCTGAGGCTTCTTGATTTTAAATCACTTTTCAATCTAGATAATAATGTAGGTTTATGTAAATGGAATTTCGGACGATTTTTTATTGATGCTTTTCGTTCATTTGTATTGCCATCATCACCAACATCAAAATTACCAACTGAATTTGTATTGTGATTATTGTTGCTGGTCGAGGAAGAACTATCATTGGTCATGGGAGAATTCTTTGTGGACTGGGCATTGAACACTGTATACTGTTTTTCGTCACTTCTCGTTATTGATGAATTAGTTGGACGAAGTATCATACCAGTAGCTATTATCTTCATTATGAAAATATTAATAAACATGAATAGACTCTATGGAATATAGAAATATTATAATATCTATGTTTATCAGTCATTCAGTGAGCTACAACGCAGGACCAGGCACTAATATGCATCGGTCCAAGTTGCCATACCTCATTAGCACAACAAGATGAATACCGGATTCATAGAAGTAGTTAATTCAGTGGTGGTAATATATGAAAGAAAGATTGCACATAAAGATATAGTACAGAAAGAAAGAATTAGTTCGTAGAAAGAAAGAGTAAGCGACTTTAATTTCGTAGTTTAAGGGAAGACAGGGAGTGTATACACCTACACCACTGTGATCGATTCTGAGCCATGTCACCAAGAGTCTCCAACCATTGGTTACGATAGTCACACGGACCCCAACCAATTAGTCTGCATCTACCAACATGGCTCAGAATAGAAGTTAGTGACTTCAAGCATTGATGCCACGTTTTGGATTGGCCGCCCCTAATCATCCCCAATACCGGTTAGAATTGCGCGTCGTGGTAATTGGTGTTCAGGCATACGCAACACGTTTATAAACTTTTCCACGTTAGAAAGATGACAATTAGTCAGTAACGAAAAAGTAACCACAATCCAAACAATAATCTGACATTAGAGTTTGGGAACTAAGTAGCTCTTGATTAAAACTAAGAAGGATAAAATTATATAATGCATAAATCAACATAAGTACTTCATTCAGTCGTGTGTTCTGGATATCACATTTGAAGGTTATAAACTCATAGATAACCTTTACTGAGTGGAAAACTAGGAAAAAATAACTGTTCATTGCTTCCTATCTCTCTTTAGTCTCCGGCGTTTCTACTAATAACATTAAATTCATCATGAATATTATTGTTAAAAATATCTTAACAAACTTATACTTCATTGGATTGAAAGATATTTCTGTCAGCTATTGTAGGGTTAAATTTTAGAATTTGTCAATGGGATATTGAACGTTGAAGAATTAGTACACGCTAAAAAACGCTAACCAGAAGTAAGTATGGGATAAAGTGGACAGCTAAGATGCAGATGGACGATCTAGACTTAGCAGATGATCTGGCTCTTCTATCGCACACGCAACAAAAAATGCCGGAGAAGACGACCAGTGTAGCAACAGCCTCAGCAGCAGTAGGTCTCAACATACGCAAAGGGAAAAGCAAGGTTCTTCGATACAACACAGCATGCAACAATCGAATCAACAAGAACCTACTATGGGAGAGAACAAAGTGGATTCCAGTGGAGGAAGAAATCAGGAAGAAGCGATGGAAGTGGATAGGATACACACTAAGGAAAGCACCCAATTACGTCACAAAGTAAGCCTCATATGGAATCCTCAAGACCAAAGGAAAAGAGGAAGACCAAAGAACACATTACGTCGAGAAACGGAGACAGACATGAGTAAAATGAACAACAATTGGATCGAACTGCAAAGGAAGGCCCAAGACAGAGTGGGTTGGAGAATGTTGGTCGGTGGCCTATGCTCCATTGGGAGTAACAGGCGTAAGTAAGTAAATTTTTCTTGTTTGACTTAGTATGTTGTAAACAATGAGATCAATATTAATTTTCGATCCAATTTGTCAACATAAATCATACATAAACAATATTTTGAATAGAAGCTGAAGAATAAATCATTATTATGCCAAACAAAGGTAACTATAAATATTTTAGTGTTATTTACATACAAAAACATTAGAATAAACAATGACTATGTATTTTATAAATAACTAATATAACAAATAGACCATTAGTAATTTTTGTATTAAATGGTTTAAACTGAACATATTTTGTATAGTTTGAGATACACAAAATAGGACGTGGAACATGTGCACATTGGTTCAAGTAACTACACCCTATTAACATAGTGAGATGAAATTATCAGGGCCAATCCCAAAATAAAGATAGTACTGGTATTAGTAATAATAGACTAGACATAAAAGATAAGATTTAAGAAGAAAATATGGATCGATGGCGAGAACAAGAAAATTTGTAAGGCAATTGAGAATCTTAGATTCTAAAGCAAGTTTTAAAAAAGAATGCACTTTTGTGATCATGAATGATTGTATGATGTGTCTCAACCTAGTGGTCAGCATTAACTAACAGGACTCAATACAACAGTCAGTACCTTCAGTGATAAGTTTCGAATGTTAACAAGTTCTTAATGAAAATTAATTCTTGAGTGCTGTTAGAGGTATGAGGGAGGTTATCACTTCCCGGTTGCCCACACCGTGGAAGGGTTCTTCTGGAGGTACCTGAAAAGGAAATCGGATTAGAAGTCGTCTTAGTGACCTGGGAGCGTGACCGCAGTGCCCAAGGGACAACTGCTTGAGGTCGGTCACACACGACCTTTTTATGGGCAATTTTTGTGTTAGCTCCGTACTTGTTGAGACCTTACCGCCGGAGACAGATATCCATGGGATAAGGCGAGGTGTGCATTTTTAGGGTCGATCTTTTCTAACCCCACCCCTCATTGTGGGAAGGCAGCATCGCTGTCATGCTGGTTGTCTGAAGGAAACACCTTACTGCTGTCACACCTCTGTACAGTCAGCAGTACGACTTCGCCTTCAGACCTTGGATTTATTGCTTTTAGTCTTATCGCTCTTCAACCGACCTTTCTGACGTGGTAGGACTTTGAGGAACAGTTGTTCCAGTCAGTATAGCTCGGTTGTTTCATCACGATAGGCAAGCCAGACCACCACGTCAAGGTAGCAACAACGGTCGGGATGAAAATTAATTTTCAATTAATTAATTAATTAATGAAAATTAATTGAATCTAATGCATAAATTCAAAAAAGAAAGAGAAATTGAATAACTTTTGAATTAAATAAAACGAATATTCATGTAAACAGTAAAAAATTAGAATGGATTTTATTTTCAAAATTAGTATAACTTGATGGTAAAAAAAGAAGACTTTAGACGACAGTTTTATTCTAGTTCCATAGAAATCCACATCAACGACTGAATTAGGGAATTCAATAATCTCTACATTCATTCGATATTAATATTTGATCATGTGCACACTAGTGACTAATATAGAGAGATAATTCCCGTAGTTCTAGTGAGAATCCGAAACCAGTGGGGTTAAACTATATCACATATGTGACAAACATCACCAATGGTAATGGATGATAAATGCACAATATTGTGAAATGATTGGAATTAGGAAAGCTATCTTATCGATTAAAGACGTAGATAGTCGCAGTTCCAGTAAAGCATAGCAGACAGTCATAGTAGTTATAACACATGATACTCAATTGGATAGTTTAAACCAAAATTAAAGATTTGTAGGTAGGTCTTACGGTATCCCAGGCCAGCAAACAGCTAACGGTGACTATCTGCTATTAATATAATCAGACGGCTGTTTATTTTTAGAAAACACCAGCTTCAAGTATAATGAGAGACATCTAATACGGTGATTTCCAAAATCAACTGAACGATAAGTCCAAATAGAACACCTTATTATCAGCCATCGTTAAAGAGGCTTAATAAAGGACTCACAGATTCTTAAACATACGATGATACTAATTATGCTCTAATATGAGCACACGATCTTCTGCGTCTTACTGAACGCAGAAAAAACACAGAAGGAAGACCCCTTAGAGTTCAGCTTAACGACGAAAAGTCGAGTATATTTCAGAAACAACTAGAAGAGCAGCCAGTCAATCATGAAGTCGATGCTCACCTCGATGTGGGTTGGCGTGATATTCAGATAGCTGTAATATTTATTAGTAACTTCAAAAAAGGAACGTCAGTGAATTTCGTTGATTCTTACTGAATCGGTAGATGCTCAGAAATTTATCTTATTATACTCTAAACACAATGATAATCAACGTTTTGTACGTTCTCTTAAGTCTGTTTTAGCTGAGTTTTCTCCAGTTTCCAAGTCCATTAACTTATTGTTTTCAAGTTTGCTGCCCATTGGATTGCCGACTCAGTAGTCTAATAGTTAAACAAGACTTAAATATCCTGAGTTCGATCCTCTATGGGGATGTATTAAATATTGTCTGCAAAGTTTACTGAGTTATCGACAATCCAAGGTGGAAATAAAGAATTTGTAAAAATTAGGTACAAATAAATCCTAGTTTCGGGAGTTTTAACAATAAACGTGTATAATGATAGGGGTATTGAGCGAAATGGACGCAAAAAAGCAAAAGCCTTTTGAATTTTCGGCCACATTTTATCAATAATGTACATGCAATAGAAAGGATGTCTTAAGCTTAAGTTACTTTTTGTGGAGCAACAAATAAATTAACTTAAAAATGTGAAATTAATGGAAACAGTCACAAATAGAAAGGCCAGAAAACTAAGACCTACATGAAATGACTGATATTATTTGTCAGAAGGGGTTTTGTGAAGATTTTAGAAAGTTCACTGATTTAAATCATGAGTCAATTGAAGCTAGACCACAATGGAAAACCTAGAAGCATTGGACGGCCGTTTCGTCCTAGTATGGGACTCCTCAGAAGTGTTTCCACGATCCCGCACCCCGCGAGATTCGAACCCAAGATCTACCAGTCTCGCGCAAGGCGCTTAACCAACTAGACCATTGAGCCAACGGTGTTAATGTCTAACTTCAACTAATCCATGAAATTGAGCGACACATCCACCATTCTCATCAGTGAGGAGTCCCAAAATAGGACAAAATGGCCGTCCAGTGCTTCCAGGTTTTCCATGGTGGTCTAGCTTCAATCGACTCATGATTTCAATCAGTGATATTATTTGACCAATAACATGATGATACTTGTTTTTTTAATTGGTTAAAGTTGATATATCGATATCAAATCAGTACATCCTTAATGATGGTTTCTCATATGTCAATCGATCAGTCAGTCTGTCGTAAGGATCGTAAAGTTTGGCACACATGTACCAGTTCAGTTTATTACATTATAACAACACGATGAGAGGAAATTATGAAGTAGTAACGATATCAGCGGTGTTAGGGAATTAAAATACAAGATATGAGAAAAGAAAAAAAAGTAAGTGGATCTAAGTTATTCCGACCAAGTCTGAACTTTCACCCAATGCATCCAACAATTGGTAAAGATAATAGAGGGATCGAAACCGAGTAATGTGAACTAACAAACAAGACCCATTCTAACAGTCAACAACCTGCTGGATTGATTCCATGTTTTGGTATGGTCATCCTTAGCTTTCTTCAACCTAATTCTACCCCATATAAAAATAACTATCAAAGTAACAGGTGGTTAAACATATATTAATATTACATAATTGATCTAACTTAATTACAATTCTTAGAGATTAGTTTTATTCAAAGATCATTCTTACCAGAGAAAGTGAATAAGAAATTATGATTCACAAAGTAGAAATGAAATGAAGTAGATTCACATCAGTTATATATGACAATGCACATGCTATCATTTTATCACTATTGACCTTATTAAGATAAACACAAATCACTGTGTTACGGTATAGAAAATGGCTGAGAATTAAAAAAAGGACAGCTAATCGTTTCTGTTGGTTCGACGGAAATTTTACTAGGGTATAATTTAATGACGATAAAATAGGTGAAGAGAAATATTAAACTACAAAGAATGAAGATGTTTCAGCGAAGTTTTTCTTTTTGACTAAGTCATTTTCCTAGGCCTTGCAATCGCATTTAGAGGTGTTAGTCTATAGTACATTTTTGGATATTCGCATTAATCTATACAGACTTTAAGGAATTTGATTTTTACATTCGCAATTAAAAGTCTGACAGTATATCGCAGAAACTCATTGAGTTCCTTAACGGCCACAGGATCGTTGCTAGTTTCAAAACAATATATTGGGTTTATGTATTTAGGGTTAGGATTAGAGTCCTATGGTTAGGGCTTTGATCTCTACGTAACATCAGCTGTAACCTGAAAAAAACTCTGTAGCCGTTTAGAGGAATGCTTTTTGATCAGTTTATCCACCAAATGATAGTTCAATGCCCCAAGGTTTGTTTCAGAATTAAGGGTTTGAGGATAGTGTTGATTATTTGATACATTCAACATGATCATTTTTTAAAAAAAATTATGGTAGTGAAAAACACTTTTTCACCATCACTTTAAACTTTTTAAGCTCGTATAAAAAGGCATTTCTACTGCTCATTAAACGTGATTTTTGAATCCCGTGCAGAAATCTATAAGTCATATTATTGATTCTTTTACCAGTGATGTTGGGGTTCGAACCTGTGATTTAAGAGTTGAAAGTTTATTTACTTAGATTAAATAAGATCAAAATCAAATTTATCTTGATTACTGAATTTCAAACACTGATTATTTTCCTTACATAATGACAATAAATATACCATTATAAAGTCACAAATATATATATATAGAATAACTAACTAACTAACTTGTAAATGTTCATCATCTGTAAATGATAAACGATAATCCAAAGCATTTAATATACATGGTATATAATGACGAAATCGGAACCAAGTTAACTGATTAAATTCACGTAATGCTTTACCTAAACTATTTCCATTTATACAATGTAAAGTATTATGTTGTTTCGTTTTCAAAATATTCTGATTATAATTATTATTATAAATAGATAAACTATTGGAACTAGGTGAAGACGATGGAGATGATGTGAAAGTACTTGTACTTGATGTTAGTGTAGTTGTTGCCATTTGTTCGTTATTTGTTAAACAGGTTGAATAATAATCATAATAATTACTATTATTATTATTACGTATTGTAGTTGTTTGTGGAAAATTCAAATGTATTCCAGAATTTGAATGAGTTAAATTCTGATAATTCTGTGTAGAAGAATGTGATTTCATCGATGAAGTTACAGTTGTTATTGAAGATATTGATGTAACAATTGTTGAATTCAATAAATTTGATTCCTTATAACATGATGATGTAAAACTAGGAGTATTATTATAATTGGTCGAGTAAATAGATGTTTCAAAAAATGAATCCGGTACAGTTAATTCAGTTTCATGTACACGTATAAAACTATTTGATTGATAGTTACAATTAAACAATTCATTAGAATTAATTGAAACTGGTATAGATGAATGAATAAACATTTTAGAATTATTTAATATGGAATTATTATTATTATCATTTAATATTGAGTTGTCATTGGATATTGGTATAGATTCTGTAGTTGTAAGAATTAAGCCTATAAAAAAAGGAAAGGTTAGTTATTTTGAAATGAGAGATTAAAACCGAAAATGGAATCCAATTCTTTACAGACTGATCTCATTTGAGGTACAATTGAAATCTGGGGAATAACTGGATAGTTGTTTTGTTCCAGTATGGAACTTCTCAGAAGTATGTGTCAACAATCAAATAGTATTGGATGATCATCTCTCTATACTAGTAAAATGAATAGGAATGAAAATGTAGTGTTGGAAGCCAATCCAGGCGGTGTTCGATTTCCTGTAAAGTCGTGAATGGGTAATTCAGCAGAGTTTCGTACTATGAGGAAACAGTTGTTCAGCGCTCCAATTGAAAACAATCTGCGACGAATATAACCTATAAGTTAAACCAATCTCCACAAAATTCACTCAACTATAATATAATAATTGATTTGTTAGATATTATTCCTTTATGACGAAATCTTGACTAAAATTAGGCAATCAAACAACATGTTCTTACCAATTAAAAACTCTGTCATATATACTTAGGTTTAGACAACCAGGTAGCACATCACTACCCGTCACAAAAATTCCAAGTTGGTTACTATGATTGAGTTACATTATTTATTTAATTGAAGGTAAATCCACTAAATCAGTTTATTTTTCAGGTAAATTAAAAAAGATTATTATCTCTTATTTCCGTGACCAATAAGACAAAATGTGAGTGTCTAAGGTGAAGGGATTATCTATATGAACAACATAGATAATTAACAGTTAATTTTACACCGCCTTACTCTTTAGGTTCGTGTACTGATACATAATTGACGTTTTTCTTAGACCTATGTAAATCTACTTCCTTAACTTTTCAAACTATAATACCATGTGAATATCTTAGTTTTCAACGCTAAAAGTTGATATCAAACTCAACACAGTGTTTTATTCTGGGAAAAAATTGGAAATTTAATTCACAAACACGGATGTATTGTATTTTAAAACTAATTATTCAACTTCGAGGAACTCTTGAGTAGTCCGGCTCCAATAAATCCACCGGACATCGAAGCAGCACACACAGATCTTCCCATAGATGTCAATCCACAAAAGACGGAAGAAATCAGTATGGCCATCAGACAAGTCAAGAGCGGGAAAGCAGCAGGACCCAACAATATACCAGCTGAAGCACTGAAATCAAACACTGGAGTAACTACAAACATGCTTCACCTTCTATTCAAAAAGATTTGGGAGGAGGAACAAGTGACGATGGACTGGAAAAAAGGACACCTCATCAAGATTCCAAAACAAGGAAATCTGAGCAAATCTGAAAACTACAGAGGAATCACACTACTGTCAGTACCAGGGAAAGTCTTTAACAGTGTTGCTGAACCGAATGAAAGACGCAGTAGACGCCCAACATCGAAATGAAAAAGCTGGATATCGTAAAGATCGATCGTGAACAGACCAAATTGCTACACTACGATCATCGAACAATCAGTCGGAGAACACCAATCCAATCACTTCTGATGACAAAACTCTGGAAGATGTAGAATCCTTTACATACCTGGGAAGCATTATTGATGAACAAGGAGGATCAGATGCAGACGTAAAGGCGAGGATTGGCAAAGTAAGGGCTGCATCCCTACAATTGAAGAATATATTGAACTCAAAACAACTCAACAACAACTGTTTACTCTTGCCCTTTCTCTTTCTTCTGATGGTTAACTGGATTATCAATACCACTATGTCTCAGGGGAAGCACGGAGTACAATGGAGCGCTTAGATGCACCTGAATGATTTGAACGTCACAGATAACGTAACCCTTCGATCGCATCAACAGCAGTAAATGTAGGTGAAGACAGTCAACGTTGCAACAACTTCTGAAGCAGTAGGCTTTAATATACACAAGGGAAAAACTAAGGCCCTGAAATACAACACAGAGAACAACAACCTAATCACACTTAATAGAGAAAGTATGGCAAATTTCACTTACCTTGGGCAGCATCATCGATGAACAGGGAGGGTCCGATGAAGATGTGAAGTCAAGGACGGCATTCCTACAGCTGGAGAACAGCTCAAAACAACTTTCAACCGATATCAAAGTGAGAATTTTCAATACCAACGTCAAGACAGTTCTACTGTATGGAGCTGAAACTTGGAGAACTACTACAATAATCATCAAGAAGGTACAAGTATCTATAAATAGTTGTCAACACAAGATACTCAACAACCATTATCCGGATACTATCAGCAACAGCATTCTGTGGACGAGAATAAACTAGCTTCCAAATGAACGTGAAATTAGGAAAAGACGATGGAAATGGATAGGACATACATTACGCAAATCGTCAAACTGCATCACGAGACAAGCACTAACTTGGAATCTTGAAGGGAAGCGGAAAAGAGGAAGGCCTAAGAACATATTACGTCGGATAATAGAAGCAGATATGAAAAGGATGAATAACAACTGGAAGAAGCTGGAAAGGATTGCCCAGGACAGGGTTGGATGGAGAATGCTGGTGAGCGACCTATGCTCCTACACGAGGAGTAACAGGCGTAAGTAAATAAGTAATCAACATGTCCATATCTTCACTAATTTGATTAACCTTTCGTATAAACAAACAGCTTATTTTTTATAATTACATTTAAGAATTATGAATTATAATTTCACTTAAATGGATGGCATAAATTATCCAAATGTGTAGTTATCTGTATATCATTCATAGACAATTTGAGCTCATCTATTAACAACATTACAAAACAAAACTTTTACACACAAAAAATATCAATTCTTCTAGCTCTTAGTTAATCTAATTATTATAATTGATACAAAGAAATTATTATTATCAAAGAGCGGTAGAGGGTTAAACGAAAAACAAAGTGAAAGAAAGTTACCTTGTGGTTGAAAAGGATCTTGTAATAGAACAGCTAATTCTTCAATTTCCGGTTCTCTAGTTTCAAGGAATAATGTATCATCAGTATTATGTGAATGAATTAAATCCGATGTTAATAATGTTGATTGTTTGAATTTATCTTTAAAATTATTCATTGTTATATTATTATTAATATCTAGTTGATTGAATTCATTTTCAATTAATTTAAAATGATTTGTACAATTTTCAATAGTATAATGTTTGTCATTAATTGTATCTATTTCAAATTTATCATGTTTGATTAAATTACTTTGATAAACAGTATCCTGAAATAATAATTATGTAATTAATTACACACACATATATACATATATGTATAATTAAATATTTACAATGAGATTATGCCTCCAAATACACTGGTACGGCCGAGGGTGGGGAGAGTCCACTCTCCCTCTCCAAATGCTCTCACATGGCCACGCGTATATAGCCTCTGCCAGGAAAGTCCTACTCACTGCCTTCTCGTGGCGGGTGTGTTGTTTACGAAATCCAGCGCTTTAACCGGACCGGTGAGTTCAACTAGGGAAGTTGGAAAACCAATGATTGGATGCGTTGGATGCGCAGGTCAGAACTGGTAGGAATACCGTAGATCCATTTATTCATTTCCTTCTCTCGAATCCCTCGTTTTAAATTTATCTTATGTCTTTTTAATACACGATTCATTCTCCATTTCAGAACTACATTGTCTAACGTTTTGTACTTTCAATGATATTTTTATCACTTCCACAAACTCGGTATTTTATTTTGATAATTTCATCTTAATGTGTTCATATGATGTAGAAACTTGAAATGATGAACATATGTGCGTTTTACCCAACACTGATAGCCTTAAATAATCTACGCAACAACACAGCGTAGTCCAGTGAAAAGTAATGTGAAACTGGCAAAGGATAATGGGTATTACACAAAAATTTACAAAACAGAAGTAAACATTTGATAATACTGTAAACACATAGCTTTATGACATAATAAATAAGAAAAAAATCCCTTTATTTTAACAAAGTGTGGAAATATGAAGATAGACTAATTTCTATTAATAATCATTCTTATAACAGTATATTTTGTTGTTATCTCAAGAAGCAAATAAAAAAAGATTTCACGACTGAATGGTCCTGATTTGTTGTACTCTACATTATTGATTAGCTTATGTTTAACGGTAAATAAAAATCAGAAAATACTGAACGATTTTATCTTGCCCGAAATGGATCAATACATTCACGATACAACAACATGATCATCATTGGATGGAATACCTCCCCCGGTGGTTTTCTTAATGGGCCACTCCCCGAGCCTTTGGTTTAGAGGTTTAATCCACAAGGCAGTGGAAAAACGTTAAGAGATGTAGTCCTATGGTAGCCGATGCCTAACAACAGGTTCATACGCCATTTTTCCAATCGGGATCCTGGGACCTATATGCCCCATTGGTTTGGAATCAGATTTTTCTAACTCCTCTAAATGGATCCCTCTATAATCATTATTATTGACCGTCAGGTAACTTAATTTTTAAAACTACATAGTATTAGGAAAGTTAGTGATTAGATCTTTTTGTTACTGATATTCTGGATATTTATCTTTACAGAAAATTTTATTTCATTTATGAACATAATGAAACTTTTTATGTCTAAACAGATTTTGTTTTACTCGACAACACGTGAACTAACAGTTTATTGAATCTTTTAAGTAACATATCATTCTGCACATATACATATGTATCGATTGTACAGAGTTTACAAATAAACGTTAAAAAGTTCAATACGAATGGAATTAGTTTACGATATAGAATTGTGACAAGTCGGTAGTGACCATAAATTAGGGAAATCAATAAGTAGGGAGAGAGTGAGAGAGAGAGAGAGGAAGACATATATAGGTATGATTACAAGTGATCTGTTTTGTATAAAATTTCCATACATAGATATACAGACATAATATAGAACGTCACGCAAGTGGGCGTAGGGATAGGTTGCGCCACACCTCTTATCACCACAACGATAGGAAACCAATATGAATGCAAAAAATATAAATAACAAAAATAACAGTAGCAGAGTGGTAAATGAAATCTAATGTGAAATAACTTTAGAAACATTTTGATTGTATGACTACCTATAAAGGAAGAACATCCTAAATAAATCTATGGTAGAACACAATCAGACGGCGCACATTATAAATGGTGGACTGGACAAGTGAAAGCTTAATTTCACAACAACAATCCTGTGTGAACCTGTCTATGAACCACGCCTTATTTTCTGATGACTTGTGATAATAATTAACTACTAAATACCATTAGTTGTTGAAATCCGCCTGAAGCCCTTCTAGAGTCACTGGTGATTCAAAGCTCGGGTAAAGAAAGTTGAGCACGAGATCATGCGTGCTTTCTGGTTTCCGTTTGTTATCTAAGGGCAATTCGTTATGTAAACTATGAAACTCAACAATTAATTGGAAAAAAATTCAAGGAATATAGAAGAAACAAACAAACAGTTTAACCTTACTGGGATTCGATACAATTGACGATTCGTTTTCAGATAGTCATCAATTCGCCTTTTTAATCTTTCATAACCACATCGATCTTCAGGGATTGCTGAGGACTGCAAAGTAAAGATTAAATGTGAAATATAGTTAAGAACAAGAATTACAAGTGTAATACGAATAGTAGGAATCAGAAATTGGTACTTTCAATGCAAGTCAAATTACCATTACAAACATGATAATCCAACTGGACTACCATGATGAGTGACGAGAAATGTGGAAGGAATAACAAACGTTTTTGAACAAAATCATTAACATTTCTTAATATGTAATTGTAACCGCTTTAAAAGTACAGATTTGATAGAAATCAGACTGAGAGTTATTGGGGTATTGTAGGGACGACCCCCGGTGAACTCAAGGAAGCTCAGAAAGGGCCAAAGACACTCCATCTAGTTATTTTTTTGAAGAACGTTTCAGAATCTTGACGTGTATCTTCCCGATTAGAAAAATGCCAAAAGGCACTGAATGCGAACTGGATGACTGTAATGATGATTTCGTTTTTACTAAAAACTATAAATACCTGAGTGTTACATCATACTTGACACTGTTTGGAATAAGATTCCTTCACACTAGTCTTCTATCTTCCAACTTGCTACTTGAGGGTTTTAAGCGTTTGAGTGCTCAAGTTGTACGCGGTGTAGCAAGAAAAATATAGGTTCCAGATATAACAGATATAAACAAACTTTTCAAACATTAATTTCAACTTAATATCAATGTAAACGATTATTGGTCTGAATACCTATGAAAAAAATAATCATTTAAGTTGAATGATGAAACTTTCTTATCTATAACGTAGTAATTAACTTTGAGATAACCGTGTATGTATGACATGAAACACACGCAGCTTACTTGTTTAGTGAACTTATGCTAATGACAAACTAAGGTCAACCATACAAACATCATAAATTTAAATTATGAACAATTTTTGAATTTAGATGGTGGTTGGAGTTAGTCAACAGGGTTTCCTGTTGACTACCTCCAACCACCATCTAAATCTCAATACATAGTGCCCGTAGTGTCGAGTCACCTAGACTGGTGGCCACATTGCAACATGATCGATAGCATTCGATCTGCACTAATAAGGACTAGATAAGCAAGACATTGATCACCACCCAGTGATCAATCAATTGTAATTACAATTTTTGAATTCTCTGATATAACTTCTGTTCATTTTAATCGTTGGAATTAATGTTGAACTACATAGATTATTTATTCAGTATTCAATATTAATAAAAAGAAATAGACTGAAAATTTTATTGCCTTGATTAATAATGACTTATTTACACTTACCTGTAAAGATGGAATAATTCTAGGCGGTGGAGGTGACGGTAAAGCACCAATGTATACACCAGTACCAGTCTGTATTAGGAGGAATCGATAAATGAAAACGGGAACATAATAGATAACAGGATATATATATATATATATATATATATATATATATATATATATATATATATGCTAAGTAATATATTTTAAAATGATGAAAACGAACTGTCTGAACCAGTGGAATTGCTTGATAAAGAGAGTAAGTGATGAAATGCAATTCCTGGATTCTACTACCAACAATCCATTTACAATTGATGAAACCTAAAGTAAAACTGACAATATAGAAACAGTATGCCTAAGTTGTACATATGCCAAAAAAAAAAGACTGATGAGTATTCGTTCCTGGATATCAACAAAGGAATAATTCAGATTATTACCAATATGACACGATCAATAATTAGCAGTAATTTACATTTAAATTCAGCTATTCAATAGCATTGAGTAATGTAAACAAAACAGGATATTTTGACTGATACTATAGCTTAATTTAATTGTGGACTATTCACTGTTAAAAGAAGTTGACCTGAAATAAATTTGTTCATACGTAATATAAAAGTTTATTTCTGAATGAAAAAGTCTGATGAAATGATAAGTAAACATGTTTATCATTTGTTTAAACATCTATTGTGGAGATTTGAATATAATAAGACAATTTTTAAAGTAGACAAACTATAGCCTTGCTAATGAGAAACATTTAAGGATTGATGACGAGTTTAACAAGCGAGAGACTCGTTTGTTCTACAAAATACATTGCTTATGGTTTGATAATATATGCTGTACTGATCATCGAGATAAATATTGTCTAGTAGTATGTGTATGGGGAGGTACTTAGATGAAGAAGGTCTATATAAAGGCCATTCAGCTTGAAACCTTTTGTATCTGTGATATAAATCAAAGAAGTTGATGTATGATGACGGGTTCCAGTCAATTGATTGTTCAACAATGGGCCGTAATGTTGCAATTAAGTTGGAACATGACCGACCCCCAACAATATACAAACAGATTATATATATATAATATTCATCATTGACTTACAGCGATAGCAGCAATCATATATTCTCCAATAGCTATACGATATCTTAATCCAAACAAACCATTCATATTACGTAACTATATTAGATAAAAATATATGCATAATATGTCGATGATTAGATAATAAGAAAATTTACCCTCAGTTTCTGCATTAAACGATAATGTAGTTCATAATCAATGAAAGGGAGAATCTATAAATTTATGGAAAAAAAGATAAATGAAGTGAATATGTGGAAGTTAACCAAATGATATTAAACAAGCAAACAAAAAGAAAACACAGACAAAACTAACCTCACTTAATTCACTTGCTGCCACTTCACCTTTAGTATCTTTCTTCGTTCGACAAACTCTAAAGAAAATAATAACACCCAATTTATTCAGTATTATATGCTTGATTACAGTAATGAATGTGTAGGACAAAAATATGCCCAGTTCTCATTTTATAATCATTTAATTTGTGATCATTCAAAGCTATGTGTCTACAAACTTTTGTTAAACAGTAATTAACTACCATTTACATTAATTTGTAACTCTATGATCGGTATTGCTCTCATTACGTCGTTATTCATGTTTAAATATGTAATATATGAATTCTATAGAAAATATCTATCATTTCTTCAAAGATTCGAGGAGGAGACGGAGAAAAATATACAAAGCATCGTGGTGATACGGTTTGAGTTTTTAAACGATTAGATTTGAGATTGGTTGTAAGCAATTCATGATGAAGGTGCATAAATGCACACTGTTGGTAGACATAACTAGTGAATTGAAAAATGAAAATTTTGAGAATAAATGAATGTTTGGAAAATTGGTGACACAAAATTTTGAATAGTCTACCTTCATGATAATAATAATGGTTATTGAAGCAATTAACTATTCTCAATTAATCAGTAAATGATTCTTGATGAATAGTTTCTTTTTTAGCTAAGTTTATAAAAGGAAAAATTAACCAAATTTTCAAACCTAGTGGGATAACTGTTCTATGGATAGATTAATGACTATCCGTTAGAGAGTTATGAACAATCTATGACTTAGGGCATGTGCACCCAATGAAATTCAAATGTAAAATTATAATATTGATATCGAGCAATGATTTTAAGAAGTGTATTGGAAAGGTATGAAGTAATCTTGAAACACAAGATTCTGATGAAGATGTCGAATACATGGGCTTTTTGTATTAATACAACTGATTTTTGAATTGTATCCCTTGACGAATTCAATCATAGAATACGATGAGATATAGGGGTTCTATCAGTTCAAGATGACACGAAGATTGAGTTTTTGTCGTATCTCATCCATTTTAATTAAAAATCTTGATTTAATATTTTTATCAATCAGTAATACAACATTGGTAAATCTCTGGGAGAATAAAATATTGCATGAAGCTGGAATTAAGGTTATATAATATTTCCAGGTACAGATTAGTGTACTCAGTTTGAAAACATATTCCAAATATGAGGGCTAGTGATACTACCGTAGGAAGAGTCCAGTTCGAACACGTGACTAAATGTATATTTTAACACTTAATAGTTCATGATTATTTATAAATGCTTTCAGTAATATATATCATTCAATAGACAACTCTACAATGTTTCGGTTAGTAGAGAAATAAATAACGCTGATGGATCAGAATAATTAATTTATAAATTTGGAATGATTTTTAAACATGAAGTACCATTGAAAGTCAAGAAGTGCTAAAACAGCTATTTCATATTAGTTTGAAATTTCAGATCAGCGCATATCCGTAAAAAAATATACAAAAGATTGAACTCAATCAAACTTTCTGGTATTTTGAGGTGAGCTCAATACCTTAGTATCACTAAATCCAGAATAAATAGTCTATATATTTATCGAGATAAAATAGGTTGGGAATGATTTCATTTCTTATATAGATAAACTCCGTCAGGTACAGTCTCTTATCACATATTCTGGAAAGTTAGTCAATAGTAAGGGCATAACTGTTATTAATCGTGCAAGGTATATGTAGAAATCTTTAAGTTTCCTAGTCAGAATCATGAACTGATCCTAATTAAGCAATCACTTGGAATCAAAAAATGATGGATGACTGTTTCAACCTAGTGTGACTACTTAGTAGTAGGCATCCACGACTTTACTAGAGATCGAACAAAGGAAAAAGGCTAATCCTTAACCATTGGAGCCATTGAGTGAAGATCCAATGGTTTGCATTTCTAAATCCAATGACTTCGAGACATTGTGCATTGGTAGGTATTGTATTGAACAGAACACGGGTGGAGACAATCGAATGTATTTGACACAAAATTACAGGACTTGTTAATAAAATCTAACAATCATAAAGTAAATGCATAATTTGAAAAATGTCCATCGATTGTCTCAAAATGACTCAGACTTCATTGTTCTTGCATTTTGTTTCCATTCTTTACAGTTCGACTCTCTTGTCTTTCAGCTTCCAGACCTTCTCTTTACGACTAACATCATATACTACTTATGTTAATATATGTAGCACACACCACAGTATATGTATCAAACCCTATATGGCTAAAATACACTTGAAACGGCTTACAACTAGAAGTCCGAAAATCAGCCACTTGATTATCATCAGAAAAGTAGAGGGTTTTGGATAGATTGTTTAATTTGAAATTAACTTTGTTCATGATTTGACATTAATTTGAGATGTTTCAATGAATTTTTCTAGCTAAAGCTGATAGATTTATAAATATAGTGCATATCACTCATTTATTCAGCGTTTAAATACTCATAAACCAATAGACTGAAATTTAGTTTGGGCCCATCTATGTGATATTTGTGTATAGTGTACTTAGACCAAGCGACTGATCCTTTGATTGTTTGGCACGTCTATTTAATTCCTGATTAGCCATCTAATACTAAGCGTAAATTTACTTCACTTCCGTGAGTTGACATGTTGTTTTGTTTTCATATCTCTGAGGCGCTTGGATATGAGGCTTGATTTCGCGAACATACATTAGTCAAGTGACCAAACCACCTTAATTATACTATATATATATTTGTAACAGGTGGTGAGGATTTGTAGCTTGCATTAAGATGACTGTGGTGAAATTGCTTTTTAGCCAGGTTATTTAAATGTGATACCTTTTATTATCTTTCTAAAAAACATCATGAACGTAAACATAAAGGAAATGAGACACTAACTGTCCCTGTAGAAGCGACTAACAGCTTAAACAACGTTACTTCAATAATAACAGATATTAATTGACATTATGAGTAAACTTTGTATATGAAGGATAATAAATTTGTTCCCATTTCTAAAGAATATACTGACACCTTTCAGTTTAAATATATATTTCATAGACTAACCGTGCTTGTACTAGGGCTGGATTACCAATGATTACTAGTTCTGGAGGAAAGTCTGACGAAGAGAATAATAAATCCGGAACATTAGCGGCTTTACATATAGAACATCGTGACGAAGTAACAGGAGAAGTAAATCGATTAGGATTTGTATCGGATGTTGATGGCAGATGACATATGTGACAATTAGGTCTAGTTCATGAAAAAAATTGAAGAAATAGACATTGAAAAAATGAAATATTCAATTGAAAAGTTAATACGAGATTGATAACAAATAGTCAGAAGTAAATTTAATTAGTGGTTTGTACACATTCAGCAATAACTGTGAATGTATATTGTAATGACAAGTTAGTTTGTGTTGACTTTTAATAGTTATACAATCATCACATAGACAAAAAGAGGTTGAATATACGGTTATGTAGCATTATCGGCAGTTGATATGAGTAGAAATTTCAAACAAATACACTTCAGGGACCAGAGAGAAGCTCAGGACTCTACAATCACTGAAAATTTGGACATTAGCCTAACTACAGGAGAACTATTATTAGCTTCTATTATGAACCATATCTCATAAGATCTCAAACAATTCATGCATGAGGATGTGATAGAGTAAAAAATACTAGTCTAGTAAGGATAACAATTTGCAGTGTCGGTTACTATGTTAAGCCCATATAACTTATTCTAGCTTCTGGACAGTCCAGTTTACCCATTCGTCTCAAGCTACACTTCGACAATGTTAATTGTTCACTTATCAACCTTGACTGTTGTTATATGAACGTATGTGTGTACACTATTTATCACATGTCTGTAACTTATTTTTGTGTGACTGTAAATATCGAAAATGCTTAGTTAAAGGGAGTCGGCTCACACGCCTTCTCTAATCTACTTCGCTTTTCCCTTTTCGTTTAGTCTTCTTGATTGCCTGTTCAAATCAATAATTAGTGCATGAAATATACATATATAAAATCCATTCTCGTATTTGGTTTATTAAATTCCGTTATTCACCAACGCGAATGAAGTCCATAATTGTATACGAGGATTGGCACCATGTTTATAGCAGTAGCGATCAGAAACGATCAAACTGGAGTCAGATATAAAGGTCACTAAACAGTATCCAGCACTACCATGTCATAAACTAACCATCTCTCAGCATTTTTTAAACAGTAGATTCTTCATAAAGAGAACCTTATAAAAACTATCGTTTTGAGTAAGTTCTCTAGAATAGTTTAGTTTTGTATCAATCCTGGGAACAGGTTAGTGAATCCCTAACACGTAATCAGATGTCTTCCCAAGAAAGTTGTTTAGCCACTTTTAAGTACAAAAGACTGATAATCCACTTTGAAGTGAACACAAGCCAAAATGACTCAGCTATAACACGCCACATTTATAAATCTATTTCGTGTTGACAGACAATATCTTTGCTGTAATTAGAGGGACATCTTAAGCTGACTGAGCATGAACATGTGTCCGGAAAAATTCTAGTAAAGTTTCATCCTCTGAGTTGGGTAGTTTAGTTGTAAAGTTTTCATCATCTATCTGGGCAACATTAGCAGCAGAAACGTTTAAAATCCACTTGAGCAACAAATCATCTCCATCACCTGGGAAAATCAACACATCTTGATGCACTACTTGTAAGTCTGTCGACCAATGTAAACATAAAAAAAAAGATACTATAACGGCCATTAGTGTTCAATTATATATCAAACCTGATTTGATTTGACATGAAAACCATTATCAGTAAAAATCACTGTCACCTTTTCAAATATTGTTGTGAACAAATTCCAGTTAAACTATAGTGCAGAAAGATAGTAATATTCATGGCCAAGAAAATGTTTGCGGCAATGTGAATAAAGATAGTGCAGAAATAAAGTAAATTACTGACATATACAGGTATGATGTATGCTAGTTATGTCTGTCGACATAAGTAGTATGTAACAACAATTGGGAGTGGAAAACATGAGGGCAGAAGGCTATGAAGGTCGACTCGAAGAAAACAGAAACGGAATCAGCAAGGAATTGTGAATTGGAAGAATAATACAGAATGTGAAGGAGAAATGATGGAAATTTGCAAATGAAGTATTTAATGCATATATCATGACTTCTCTATACTCGGCCCCCAATTTCTGTCAAGACTATTGATCAGAGTATCCAAACTACAGTAAAACTAAGTAAGGATACACTACGAATAGACTTATTAAAGAACAAAAGCAACAGAGGAATATGTGTCAACACTAATTAGTCTTGTCAACAGTAGGAAATTTGGTTCAGTCGAATCTGCGTTATGCATATGATATTCAGTATTAGTTGGTTGATATATTTAGTAAACTCTAATCAAGTTAAAAAAGCAATGCTGAACAAAAATCCATCATTAAAGAATCTTATGAAAAATTCAGAAAAGTGTTTGACTGAGTAAATTTTAAACAAAAAGATTAGAAGACAACTGTCTAGTGAATATGATCGCTTAACTAACTTTACGAATGAAACTTGCCCGATATATTGATTAGTGGATATCATACTTTTTTGGTTCCTTATTTCTGATAGAATTCTATTGATCAGTATACAATATGATCACTAGTATTAGCTAACATTATGTTCACTATTTGGAACCAATTAGTAAGAAACACTAAACTATGCTAGTTGTTACTTACCAGAAAGGCGTACTAGCAATCATAAAGAAACTAATGCTCACAACACTAAGTGTGATTGGACTAGACACTAACAAATGTCTCCGACTACGTGACAGCAAAACACCTGACAGATGAAACTGTAAAAGAGTACAATGAAGTTTAATAAGAAATTAGAAGGTACAGTGAAGCACAATGAGAGTGAGTGGATCTTAGCATCGAAATACGAAAATCTAAACTGGATCACTATGATAGTAAAGTAAATAATGTGCATAAATTGTTCGTTTTGCATATTGATCACACTGATGGACATCAGTTAGTTTAGAACAATGAAAGATGTGACATAGGTATTCATCAGTTTGATTTGCTAAATTTACATATAATGCAACGAAAAAAGGTCAACAAGATGAGATTCAAAGAAATTAAAGTAATCGCAGAATTAAGGATAGCAGAAATTAAATAGTTTAAAAATAAAATTAAATACATGTGAAGACATTAGTGGATAATAAATACCGTATTTTGCAGTAGCATATCAGCAGTTAACTTTTTTTATAACAAACACAATATTAGGAATGACAACCTACCTTGACGAGTGATGTTGTCTGGTCTAAGAGTAGGCTAAAAGCAAGCTTGGGACGGCCAAACTAATAAATGGCATCGCCCCATGAAGCCATTAACAATTGGACTGAGCCATGCAGATGGGTGTAGACTATTTGGTTGGGGTCCGCGTGATTATCGTAAGTAATGGTTATATATTTTGAGTGACATAACTCTGAGTCAATTGCAATGGACTAAGTGCATCCACACTTGTCTTTCCTTAGATTCATAATCTTTTTATTCATTTATCTATGCATAATCGCTTCTGCTACTACTATTATTATTACAGATACTGTTACTACCTTTACTGTTCTGGAACTCAGCTTGGTAGATTCATCATTCGGCGCTAATGAGATGATGCAACTTGAATCAATGCATATATGTGAAGGGTTTTACGTTGCCTGTGACGGACTGACAAAAACAATAAAACTAATGTCTAATGTTCCACCATAAAATTTTTATCATTGGACTTATTGATTATTAACTGTTAATGAACTTCTAAAATGTTTAACAGTAAACAAAATGATGTACTTTAATTGTAGGTCAGATATTACATTTATACGACCGAAACAACAGACTATTATTTATGGTAAGTCATAAGCAATGTAGAATCCGATAAATATATTTGCAGTGGATCAAGTGGACACAACACATTGACACAGTGAGATCGAATTATCAAGATAAATACAAAAGTTGTGGGAATTTTTAACCATAACAGTGTTAGCATAATACATTAGGGACAGACAATATAATTCGACAAAGATGAATTAAAAGCTAAGGTCTAAAGGAAAACAAAGAATGAATACATCAGTGTCAATACGACCAATTCTGAATTATGTTATCCGACGTATCCAAGTATTGGTTACGAAAATTGCGCAGACCGCAACCAGATAGTCTGCACCTATCAATATAGATAAATGTAACAGTCTATGACTTCATGGTCTTATTCTATTTTTGGATTGTCACACAAAACTGGATATTTCTTAATGTAAAAATACCATGGAAAATGGAAGAAGAAAATATGATGTAAAGTCCAATAACCTTATAAATTAGTGTGAACAATTTAATCTAGATAAAACTCCTAAAATACGTCATATTTACTTGACTGAGTTGTTGATATCATGAAGTATTTTTTGATGTGAAAGATATTTATCAGGTGTTGTTTCTTTATAAGATTCTTTGTTATATGAAGACGTAGGCGAAGGGACAGGAGTTGTTTCTGATGATGACATAGAAAGAGGATGTTTAGCGGTAGTGAATTCAGGAGAACAACTACGAGTACAGGACGTTTTTGAAGTACATTGATCAATAGTTGTGAAATAGTTAGATGCTGAATATAAAAAGAAATTTAAAAAAAGAAACAAATATGTATTAGGTCACAGAGTTGTTTACAAAAAAAATGTTGAAAAGTAGTATAATTAAGTGATTGACGATCGGTTAATGACCGATGAAAGTAATCAGAATGTAAATTACTCATTTAGAAAGTAACTACAAACTACAACTCAACAGATAACAGAATACCTAAACAACTAACTTAATACATCTTTGACGAAACAAAAATCAAAATTACAAACTGAAATACTTTTAGTTCAGTAGTAATTATTTAAGAACTCAAAGTTGGCGTTAAAATGAACTATTTCGTAAAACTGATTTATTTGAAATAAATTTTATTCTTAAGTCTACATACAGTCTAAAATATCTAGAATTATTGACAGTGATACATTCAAAATTTTAAGCTTCATAATATAGTATCTGAGACTATCGAGCTAAATGTTTTACGACAAAGTAGTACTACTTTTCAAGTGAGTCAGTCCTTTTTTCAACAAATCTCTTGACAAAATAGGTGTTTCGATGTTGCCCTTAAACAATATCTGTTCCATAAGGTAGTTAAAATGAGAAAGAATCCATTCAATGTATACTTTTTTTTCATATTAATGAGACGTTATTACTCCGAAGGGTTCTGATATATATGGTGAGTTCCCTACGGCTTAATCAGCTAACTTATGTCTTACTTAGGTTTTAATGTATACAATGAACGAAGTAAAATGACTATTCTAAATGAAGGACACGACCGTGCCTATTTCGTTCCTCTGTGTTGGAATAATATAACTAATGAGGGCAGTATTTGTACTGGTTTAGGGTTTTGGATACAGAAAAGTACATGATATTTACAATTGTATGATCAAAGTCTAAATTGTCTTTCAAACTGTGTTTCCAATCAAGGAAAATCCCTCAATAGTTTGCCATAATTTGAGATGAGGTTTTTACTGATAGTATGTTGATATTTTTATTATTTACCTAAGTGTTTATTAACAATCATAGGTTTATTTCACGCAACACGCTTGTATTTAAACCACCTAAATTACGGGTGTGTAACCTGAATTCATAACACTGGATTGAAAAAAAATTCTATTTTGCTGCTGTTGAACGGTTTTCACAAATATTTAAAGGCAGGGTATATTATGTTGTATGTTGTACAGTGGGATCAAGTGGGGTGATGAATGTGTATGGTTGAATGCTATAGAAACAACTGCCCGACGTAAATACGCGATTAATAAAAAACTACAAGATGGAATTTATTAAAAAAAGTCTTAATGTGTTAACATTTATTATTAGTTCTCTGAGACTAAATAACATGACTAAAGGCAGAATACTTGTGTGAAACTAATACAAATAATTTTTAAAATGATTGCCATAGTCGGAATGGAAAAAAGCCTTCAAATTGTGTCAATATTTTTATACTACTTATAAGTAGATGATATCAATACGGGGAATTATCTTAACCCCTTATTCCTGAAATGATCGTTTAGTCACCGGTAGAAAAACGAGCAAAATTTCCGTAATAGTTGAAAGGTAATATAACAATAATAATAATAGTCAATTATTGTAACCCCAAGCTTAATTATAGACTCTTAGTAAAACTGACATGATAACGTGAACGTGTTTTAATCAGAAAAGGTGTAAGGCAGTAAAAATGATCAATGATACCTATGGTACCATATAAAGAAGTCAGTTCTTAGAACTTTTATGAGTTGTGTACAATGTCGTTTTTTAGATTGTATGGAATGATAGAACAGATACAGTGGAGTGTTCTACAGAAGAGAAATCAATCGCCATACTTCTGCTTCTTTAGTCTCTCACGCACCTGTTTGTGTAAACGAATTTATTTGTGAGCAGTAATAGACGGAGGCACTTATTCATGATTTTTGGTTCTGTTTGGTTCAATACATCACTTGTAATAAAGTGAAGTAATGGGAATAGAATATCACTGATTCAATTAGTGAGAATGCTACTGAAAAAATAGCTACCGTTTAGTAAACCAATATATATACAATGACTACTGAGCAGTAGTATATATTGTATTGGAGAACTTCATCATTATGAAATGGCTGTTTCTTTGTCCATTATAATCATAATATTAAGTAACTTTTGAATTTTAGATGATAAGCTCTTCTACTTCATAAATTTTAGAGAATTAAGAACAATGAGTTAAGCAGAATAATTCTTTAAATTCGTACAACTGAAAGGTTAATCAAAATCCTACCTATAATTAGGTCTGTTACTAACTATAAAGCTTAGCATCGCTGGCCAGGCAAAGTATACGCCCGACCAGCACTACTGACTTTGGGCCGGCACACACGTTCCTATTGGTCAACTCTTAGCTAGTTCCTCTGCATGTCTTGTTCTTAAGACTATAGGTAGAAACCAGCCTCTGTTTTACGTATATTTCCAACAGATGTAGTTTATAGACATATCAAACAGCATTACACCGTAAAATGAAAAATAACACTTATGAATGAACAAAAGTAGTTACGTGTAGAGAAGACGGTAAATAACAGGTAGAGAACGAAATAGGAGTAACAAGGCATATGACAGTAGTTTATGAGTAAACTTAAAGCTTATGATAAGTGGTATATATATATATATATATATATATATATATATATATATATATATATATATATATATATATATATATATATATATATATATATATATATATATATATATATATATATATATATATACAGTAATAATAAAAAAAGTTCATTCAATAATAACTCGAAAATCAAGTTCCAACCTCTATAGTATTCGCTCCGTTATAACACAAAGTTTAATTACAAAGCATTATTTTTACTTTATTGCCTTGTATCTGGGTTCTACTTAGCTAATTGATCTTCTTCGTACACACCTGAGCTGTGTATATTCTCCGTCATCTTTCTCCAGATAGGTGTCTACATGGTCAACACCATTAAATCATAAACTTACATCCATTTACCATTCGACCAGTGAAAGTATTTCCATCTCTTCTAAAATTAAGATTTGATCTTATCAAACTGAGGATGATTGGAAGCTTTTGGCTTGACTTGTTTTAACAAAGTTTTGTAAACATGAGACCACGTATAGTCAAAACTAAAGTTTGTCGACAAGTATCTAAACAGAATATTTCCATAAGATTAACGTTTATCCACCCACAAGTCACTATTCAGTGGCAACATTTCTCGAAATTCTATGGTCTAATAACGTGAAATATGAACATATAACACGAGAAAAAAAACTAAATTTTGGATCGTTTATTGAGGCGCTTGACCAGTTTGTTTGCCTTATATACAAAACAATCATCCTTTTTGTGTATGTGACGTATTGTTTGTGATAAACATTATCAAGGCCACAAGGGTGACTTGTAAAACTCATGTTACTGTCAGATAGGATTGTATATTTGCTAAGGTCATATATTGATAACTATAGTGAAACATAGTACTGTTTACTCTCTATTTTTATTAAAAAGGATTTGATTTTCAGTAAACAAGAATTGGATATTTTCGATCACAGAGTTGATACTATGAACAAAAGTGAATTTCAAATGGAATTATAAAAAACAAACAAACTAAGACACGTGAAAAGTTATAGGTCTTACAGAGGACGAAGACTTTTTTACTGACAATGGGATGTCCACTTCTCATTTTTTGAAAATTATCATTAAATATCAGATAAGAGACTTTGATTTTCGGATCATAATGAGTCACTCCAATGAGAAGTTCTTTACCGATTGAAATAGACACCCTATTAATAAACTCCTAAAAGATTCTTCAGGAACATGTCCTGGACTATTTTGGAAGCTTAAATTTAAAGAATGTGAAGTAAATTAGTCGTGCTCGAATCATCTAGAAAAATATGAAATTTCAAGAGATCAGGTTTAAACTTTATAAACAAGTTGTTTATAGAGTTAATTTTCTTGTGTTCGGTGTTTCGTCTAACATTTATTCCAAAGAAAAAATGAAGGGAAATAACTGTTTATGATTATACATGAATTAAATATGATAATTTTATCATATTAGTTTTGTAAAGAGACTATTAAACTTGATAACTAAATCTAGGAAATGAAACACATTTTTCTTTCATATTCCATTGTGAATTTGATATTGGAATGAACTTTACCGAAATTTTCATCTATCTAATTAGTACTGGGATTTCGAAGTTATGGTTAGGAATTAAATATAAGGCTTTTAATTCCGAACTGAGATCAGCTATAATGCCAAAATGATATTTAATCATATAGAGATGAATGAATTTCGTGCCAAAAACCCAAGACTCCTTAATTTAAATCTAATTGATTTATTCATAAATTGTAGTCCGATTGTATTAAAAATGATCAAAAAAACAAACAAACAAATAAAAATTAAACATTGAACAAAATTACATGACATAGATTCACAAATTTTTTCACTAGCTTTTGCCAAAGTTACAGAAATATGACCAAGAGAATTTGTAGTTGTAATTTTGTATGATAAATCATTAATCCATTTAGGATTGATTTGTACAGCTGTACCATAACTTTGAAGTATACAAACATCTTCATAGATTGTACATTCTTCACGATATGCTAGAACAGCATCACATCCAATACTACGCATATGTGCAACTATTTCAGTACGTAATTCAAGCCACCATGCATCTCGAAATTGTATTCCAGCTGATATTTATGAAATAAATGAAAAGAAATTATTTTTCTATTATATATAATAATAGTGAATACTAAAGTTGTGTATAGAGATATGATAAAATGTAGATTGAATTAAGTATACTCTTACTATCTATACCACTATGGGATTTGACTCGACAACTGCATCTCTGTGCTAATGTGGTAAGGCAACTCGAACTGATGTACGTAAATACGAAGTTCTACGTTGTTTCTGACTGACTGAATTATGTATGTTACAATAAACTAAATAGTTTGACCCTATCTATGAATTATATTGGTATTTGTGTAAAGTAGATAAATCTGAGAGATTTATTCACTGTTTGATTTATTTTGATTAAGGGATTTACATAAAGACATACAGTATTAAAATATTATTACTGTTAGTCCTATGATTGATTGATTTCTAATTTTAGTATGTAATCTAAGCAACCGTTCAGTGAGAACTAGTATTCAGTTCAACACTTATACAACATAATGATGGATTGATTATAATTGACATACGATATTTAGGAAAAAAAGCCACCAAAGTGACATCATCTATGTATTTCTCAATAGTTCACATGAAAGAACTGGTTAGTCTCCATAGAAAATTCATATGAAATGACTTTTTTGAAAAAAAAGCCATTTCCCTATAATCGGGAAAAAAAGATCTGATTGATTACTTCTTATTATAAATCCATTTTATTGTGAAGGTTACTATAACATAAATTTTACAAGACTTTATTGCCGGTTACCTACACTGGCCATTAATTAGTTTAACTAAAGAACATGGAAAAAACCCTGTCAATGTATAAATCCAGTGTATATTCGTATTTATGTAACAGTAGAAGAATAATGAATGTTCAATGTTGAGTATGACTGACTGACCATATATATATATATATATATATATATATATATATATATATATATATATATATATATATATATATATATATATATATATATATATATATATATATATATATCAGTTATTGTTACTGTTATATCCCGATGGGAATAATGAATGGTAATCTGTTGGAATCTACTTCTGGACTAAAACTATACGTATATTTTTATTGTATAATTGTTAAGTAACCGAACTATGCATATTCGTGTTCCTCTCATTTTAAGCTTTATTTTGACTTATGAACTAATATTGGACAATTTACCATTCTTCAGTTATATCCAGTCTATTAATTACAGTCTCCCACATTCACAGTCACTTTTGGCTAAATCTCGTACAAATGTTGTTTCCTATTTTATGGTACGATGTGGTCTGTCTGGTTAGTATATAAACCAAGTAAGTTTGGAATAGATGATTCATATCGCAGAGGCTGAGATTAGTGTTCTGGATTTACCAGGAAGGGCAAGGCAGGAAGAAGGACCAATAAAAACTCTTAGGTGCTCGTACGGGTTTTACGCGTCATTGGTCCGGTCAATAATTCACTGTTCTCTAATTATCGGTATCATTACGTTAAACGTTGATAGGGGCACAAACACATAAGTTATAACAGTTACATGAAAGAAACTTGCATTTATGTACAAAAAGAAAACTACTACAATAATGATCGACACATTTAGATAACATTCTCTAATTTCAATTAAAGCAAATTTATCATAATAAATAATAACCGCACAATTTTTAATGAACAGTTGTCGAACATTTAACAACATGTATTATTTTGGTAAATAAACAACAACAAAATAGACAGGAACCATATACCTGGAGAATTTTTATCCAACAATCGTACAGATTTCGATGCAACTAAACTACCAAAATGTAATATCATACCCGGTAATGGTTGAGATATTGTTAAGAATGGAAATTCCTGTTAAATAGGAAAAATAATTTGCGTAAATTGGTGACTATTCAGTTTGAAGGTTTACATCATGAACTAACCTTGACTAAACAATCAGTAGAGATCAAAGACCAATCGTAAGCCGTATTTTGTGGTAGTAGTAAAGATCAACGTTTATGCCAAAACTTTCGGACCTCAGGGTGAGCGCTTAACCTACAGGCGAATTATTCATCGTTATTGGTGATATTCGTCTAATAGTTCACGTGGTCGAGTTTCATTGATCACAAGTTTCCACTAGAACTCTGGGAATTCTCACTTTAAATAGGGTTACTAGAAGACATGTGATGACTATTATTACAGGGTGCTGTGGAAGTTGTTTTTTCCCGACTTTAAGCGGTTGTTTAACTGAAGTCAGTTAGTGGAGTGAAACTTCCAATGGACTAATGTTTGTGAAAACCCGAAACAAAAGTATTTGTAGTTCAATTTAATTTCCTAAGGTAATAGTTGACCTTTGGACAATTAAACAGCTATATCTTATAATACAAAGCATTGGTCTTTGAATAACATTCGATTACCATTTTAGTAGTGCACGTGATTAAGCACCGAGTTACAGAAGTATGAGCTGTTATAATAATATGCAGTCATCACTTATACATTAGTGAAACTGGTCTTTGAGCTAATGCTGTATTCTGGCTGTAAGTACGGAACTACAGTGGAATTTAAATTTATCAATGGTTGGTAAAATTTATTTTTCTTGTTTAACTAAATTGGTTTGAAATTATTCTTCTTTCAAGTGGAACTACGCCATTGTTCTGAATGTATCCAATATACATATTATAGTGATAAGTAGTAACCTAAAAAGTCATCATTTAGACCAAGAGTAAGACTGTTACTCATCAATGAGATGACGTGGAAATCACACCATATCAAAATAGAATAAGGTTTAAAATGTGAACCATTTAGTCTTGATTCACTGGCCTAGGGATGATAAATTTGATGTGAAATTTGACGGTCCCTAGTTTGCTGGTCTTTATGAGACCACAAGTGTGCGTTTTCAGAAAGACCCTAACAAGATTGATATTAGTTTGTAAAGTGAACTAATGTTAGGTACTATTTAAAAAGGTTTTAACAGCAGTTAAATGACTAATGAGAACGTAGTAAAGTAGCCTATGACCAATAATTTCAGAAGTTTTAGATAATTAGATTATCAAGGAATAACTCTGGTTTAAAAGATGATTGAAATTCAAAACAGGTGTTTTGAATTTTACCAGTTTCACTAAAGTCAGTCAGTTGGTCACAACGTGGAACGTGGTACGTATGTACATTAGTTCAAGTTGCCATACCCCTCACTAGCACTGAGAGGTGATTCATGGTAACTTAAACAGCATATAAATTATCAATACAGTGTTTTAAGAAGAGGAAAGCAAAAGCAACAAAGTTACCAAACTTATCTATTGACTACATCTCAGATTTTATGAAACGTTGAGAATAGATTTACATTATCGTGTTCATAAAATACGAAAAACACTTTCCATGTTCCATGGTACATCGAGTGTTACATAAGATAATCTTTTTTTAACGTAGATGGAATCACAATGATAGTTTATAAGAGTACCGGTTTTTTTAAAAACAAACAGCCACTTATAAGACATAGGGATCGTCAGAATAAAATTTCTAGCCAATAACAGATTGATTTTCAACATATTTCCTATGCGGTAACCCAAAGAATGTAATGGTCTACCAATTAGAGCAAACTTAACTGCTGTAAATACGATAACTATCTTAATGAAATATATACTGTGAAAATACTAAGTCATACTATAACACACGCAGACGTTTAAGTGAGACAATATAACTTTGGATATGGGGATATATATATATATATATATATATATATATATATATATATATATATATATATATATATTAAAGACAATATTCCTCTATATTTAGTATAAAAAAGGGCAAATCTAGGCTACATTGCTTATTTATTTGAACACATAAATGTTGGTACGAAAGGACAGCGAATACACATGCGCCATACAAATCACTTGATTTGTGTGTGGGCTGTGATACTGTCCGGGTACCCAAATCGAAACAGGTGGTTTTCTTAGGGGCCACACTCGGAGCCTGTAAATTAAAGGTCTGATCCACAAGGCAGTGGACCAACGTTAGGAGATGAAGTCCCATGGTAGTCAATGGCCAATAATTGGTTCATAAGCCATTTGTTCCTTCAGGATACTGGAGCCCATGTGCACCATTGGTTTGGAATCAGGGTTTCCCAGCTCCCTTAGGTGGACCATCCGTACCCACCACCAACCCGGTTAATGCGCCGGACATTCGCTTTTCGTCCTCTCAATTTCGTAAACAACGAGAATGCCGCGAGAAGGCAATGAGTAGGACTTTCCTGGCAGAGGCTATATACGTGTGGCCATGTGAGAGCATTTGGAGAGGGAGAGTAAACTCTCCCCACCCTCGGTCGTACCAGTGCGTTTGGAGACCATTGCTTGTTTAAAAACCAATAAATGTATACAGAATAATTAAGAAACGTTTACTGAAATATCTCGAAGCTTAGAAGAAACTAGTTTCTTAAATAGATTAAGACTTCCAAGACATGCGAAAAATACATATTCGATAAAGTATATGTTACTTACGCCAAGTTCTAAAGCTTGAGGGACATGTGATTGAAGGTTATGTACACCTAAATGATGAAAATTTAGAAAGAAATATCCACCTTTAGTAAATTAGAAGAATTTAGATTGAAAATTAGTCAGAAAACAATATAAAAATCCAATCTAGATTAACATTAAGTGGGCCCATGAAACAAACCTTATATAAGATACACAACGTGACTGTTAAAACATTTCATGAAAATTAGAGAACAGAAAAATAGAAATTAAACTTGGTAACCAAATTTAAAGTTAATGGAGATATTGAGTAAAGATCAAAATTCTCCTCACTTTGAATAATGTTTAAAATTATTTTGAACTTATAAGAATATACCGACTAAAATCATACTCTCTCAAGTTACACTGATGATATTGTTCAAAAGAGATGATGAGAGAGATTTACAAGTAAGAAAATGCCATTGAGTTTGATGAACATATATACTCCTGATCATGTAGACGAAAGAAAGAAATAGAATTTATAATCAGTAGTAAAATTATTTATCAGTTGCTTATTGCCAAGTAAATTTACTACATAATGATCATCATTATAATGTATTAAGCTTGACCAATTAATATGTCATAGGTCAACGAAACGCTATAATAAACAACAAATTTACATGATCTATAAAGAATTTAGTGTGCTGAAAGAGAGAAAATTGAGCATCAGACAATTATTTCGATTATTTGCATCCAATGCGCACAAGTACAAAATATCAAACTAATATAAGTGAGTTTTTTTAAGGAAACTTGACAACTGTTTTCAGTATTTTTGACGCATTAAGATGAGTATTGAAACTTGTTGAACATTCCATAGAGTTGTAAAATTACTAATGTTATGCTTTAATATATGTAATAATAGGACAGAATTTATGGTAACTTACCACTTTCCTTGTATGATGCATTAGGAGATTCCCAGTTGTGTGAACTATTTCTAAAAAAGTTATGAATAAGAAATGAAATTTAGCTAATAGTCATATATCATTCCAAATTATTGATAGAAATGAAGTAGAATATAACTTAAGGTTCTATATTTTGATAGATTGTATATATATTGTTGGGTCGGCTTCCGGAGAATTTCAGCGGAGCCTCCAGAGGCCCACGAGGAGCCGAAGAGTCCTAGCTAATCAGAGTGTGGTGGAACGTTCTAGAATTCCAACGTGGGGTGCTACTATTGGTCGGTAGCATAATATGTCGTTATCGGATTGGCCGTAAAATGATGTTGATTTAACAGACGCCAACATCTATAAATAACCATGATTTTCTGTACAAAAATGAAACTTGGGATAAAGTATTTTCTCTCATACTTGTGTCTTTTCTCTAGTGTTCAAGTCGCTGTGTAGTTCTAGACTGCGGGTTACCGAAATAGCTTAGGAACAAGTATAGCGTTCAATTGACAATACTTATCAGTGGCGACGGAGATGAAAACCACAATGAATATTTTCTTGGAGCAATTAGAAGCCTATCTGGTGCGTCAAGAAAAGAGGTTTGAAGAGTCCCAAATTAGAATCATGGAAACCCTGATGCAGAAATTCTGCCTGTCCCAGCAAAACCCTGCTTCTAGTGAATCTCAAGTATCACATATTGATTCATATCTCAGAGGCTGTGACTTTCGTTCTGGACTCAACTGGCTGGGATAGACAGGGAAGCAGGGCCGATCGGTACTCTAGGTCGTCCATACGTGTTTACGTGTCACTGAGTCGATCGATATAAAACGCTACTTATTAAAACCTACACCCACCCGTAACAACAGATATCATAACCAAGGTTTGACTTGATAATTTCGAACAAATTGAACATTGAATACATCGTTATAAATAGATTTATATTAAATTATTTATTTTCTGAAGAAGTGGCTTACACTGAGTCACGAAACGTCAGAAAATTTAATTTTTTTTACTCATTATGATATTACAAATATATATAATTTATTTAAAAGGGAGCTATTATTTTAATTTCAATGTGTGTAAATAAATAAGAATTACGTGCTTTATCATTTGTTAAAAGTAAATTCTTAAACAAACTAACCTAATTGTTAATATAGTGATAAGAATTTTCATATATTTATAGGACAGATATCTGTTTCACAATTACAATTGTTAACTTTTCAAATGGTTTATTTGTACACAAAAGTTATGATATCAGTTGAAAAAAAAGCCACTTCTTTTTACTTATTTTCCGAAGAAGTAGCTTACATTGAATTACGAAACATCATAGAATAGTTTTTGTTTATGATCTTATCAACCAGTGTTTAAACACCATTTATTTAGATAACTGTAGGGATTAATTTGACTGAATATATTGAAATAATTCTTGAAGGAGATATATTATGCTAACAATTATTTAGAAGTTTAATAAATTATACATAATATGAACGATAACAACAACACGTCATGAAATGTGTCTTATCAATACTATTTAATTAAGTACAAATTTATCATTTAAACTTGTGTTAGTATAATTCAGTTATTTGATTATTCTGAAGAAGTGGCTTATATTATCACGAAACTCCAGAAATACAGTTTTTCTACTCATTGAGATATAATAAAATGTATATTTATGATTAACTTTCTATCCAATTGCTTAATTTATTTAAAACTATCAAGTCTAACCTTGGCATTGATACCTACAAATATCAATGATTTTTAAGTTAAGGAATTAGAGAAATATAATTAATGTACAATTATTTAACACTATTACTTCGACATGAAGCAATTCAAAGAGAATTAATAAATTAATAATTAGTTTTATAGAACTCATCAGCTTTTTGAAAATAAAAAAAACACACGTATATTAACTAGAAATATAGTTGATGAAATACTTTGAAATTCCTGTTGGAGTATTTGGAGGAGTTGTTACTGGATTATACTTCTTTAAACGAACAGCTGTTCCGATTCCACGAACAACTACGCCTGTTTCACCCTCTAAGTCAAAATGAAGTTGATATCTATAGATGAATTGACACAAGAAAAAAATATCTTTGAGAAAAATATTTGCGATGTTGACTGTAATAATTGACACAGATTTCAGGTTTGTAAAATATAAAAAAATATATATAATAGATATACAGTTTTTAGTAACAAGTTCAAAACAAAAACTGATGATATAAAATAACATATTCATCTATTTAGAATGTTACACAGCTGTTGGTGATAATGACTTAGGCAATGGAAAATGGAGTATGCAAAGAACCAAAGTAACTTTAGAAGATATCGCAAGAAATTTATGTTAGTACAATGGTACAATCTAGAATGGATTTTAGTATGAATAAATCTGAATACCTTCATATTTCTTAAACAATTTAGTGTCTGTTTGAACTTAGGACTTCAATGAATAAAATGATGACGTTTGAGATAAAAGGTACGGGGTCCGAGTTTTGGTATGAACAACAATACTGAAATCCAGGTGTTAGGAATCATCTATAAAAGAACGCACTAACGACAGCCTTAAAAGTCCACCACCATATTTACTCATTTTGATCTTGTATGACTATGCCTTGTTTATTCATTAATCATAATTTTTATGTTTATGACAAACAACATTAGGTTTGTTGACACATTTTTCCTATCTTCTAGTTACTGTTTGGTATGTTATTTATGTCTTTTCCTGTTTAATAGACTGTATTTATTATTTTGTATACTAACAGTATTAATTTACGTTTTAAGACAGATAAAGTTTATCAAACCAAATAGCTTATTTGCTTCGCTTTTGGCTAAGTTAAGACTCTGTGTTTGACAGTCTGAAGATAAGTTTAGAATTGTGTCTGTAGAAAATTAATTCCTACACTGAGTTCCGATACTAGCCACACATATACGCAAAAATAGCTATATAGCGACAATCCAATCAAAATTTGGACACAAAAAAAGAGGCTGATTAGTTCTGGTCTTCAATATCAATGACAGAAAACTATATCATGATCTCAATGAAACTCAACAATCTCCACCTTTAACTTATAGATTTTTTGATAATTATATGGAGTGGTAGTGTAACATAGTAAACTACGTAATTAGTGATTAAAATACAAAAACGGATTTTTTCAACCGTGCAAAAAGTGGGAAGTATGAAAATGATAAAAAAAACATACCCAATTAAAGAATTTCCACCCAAGTTTAGGACTTTTAAACCCATTTTTCGTTGCAACTCTCCTGTAGACATATGGAAAAGAACAAAACATCGATACTGACAGTTATCAAGCGCATAAACATTTTGATGTTTCTATTAAAATGAGAACTCACACCATTTAAACAGACACTGAAAGGATTAATTTCCTACATTACGTATAATCATAAAGTAATCATATTGCTATAGATCTTAACTCAACGTTCAGTGACATAAGGAGGAAAATAAAGAATACTAAACGACTGATAATTATTTACTTTCAGTCAATTGTAACGGCACGTAAATGATTGGAGATTAAGGCTTAGTTATAGGGCTACCTCAAAATAAGTCAGAAAGCCGTCTGATATATCAGGAGAAAAAACTCATTGAAAGGCATAATATATTATAAGTATTGGTATTGAGTACAACAATATGAGGGAAATAAATAAGGATCAAGTCCTCATATCATTACATCAATTAATGCTAGTGTTTAATTTCTTGAAGTTTGGTATCCCATTCCACCATTCACATATTACCAACATGACATTAAATTGTCCACACACGATTTAGTATACACATTCAGATGTTGCGTTGACTCCTATAACCCAAAATCCGGAGCATGTGTTTTAGTTGTCGTTTTGGCATGACATTAGACCTAATCAGGCTAACCAAATATCTGTATAATCAAGTTCAGAAATCAGAACGAATAGGTAAACATGTCCAGTCACATTTAGTATGCAAAATGTATGTTTAGTTACTTGGGATTATTAATGGGGGAATAGGATGCAATGTCTCACATAATCGGATCCAATTCGAACACACATCACCTAAACGTAAAGGAAAAGGCTGATGACTAAGTCCTCAAATCATTACATCAACTAAGGATAGGATTCTGATTATGAAAATCAAGTGGTTTAGATTAAAAGAGAGTATCGAACACATGACTTTAAATAACAATGAAAACGTTATTTTTCCGCGGCTGCTTAATTTTCAACATTAAATATTAGTGGTGTCTTATGATAAGATTGATTCACAGTGAACTTTTATTACTAATGTTGTGCTAATAAGCTAGCCTTCAGTTCTAGAACTATATATAAAAGCAACATGTGATAGCTTTTGCTTTACCATGACCCTAACACTTAAATTTTTAATACTTGGTATACCAGATGTCAATACTTTCATCTGTTCTTTTAAATTTTAATTAGTTATCATAGATTAAATCAATGAGGTTTTGATTTGATCACCACTGAAAACTAGAAAGCATTAGAGGGTTGTTTTGTACTGATCCGGGATTCCCTAGTAGTAGGGATCCACGAATTCATCACCAGAAACCGAACCAAAGAAAGAACCCAATATTGTACGTTGTCAACTTCAATTCATTCGCGATACTGCGACACCATCTTCCATTGAATGCTGTAAATAACTGTCTCACACCCGGCATAGTTGAACTAAATTGTTCACGGCTTTTAACTAAAATTTGAGGAACGGCATCTTATAGGTAGTCACTACTAATGAGCACAGATTTCTTATCAAGGTGAGGCTTTTTAGGAGACTGTTAAATTTTCACAGATAAAGTCATGGACTGATTTTGGTTGTTATTATTTTTTATTATCCTCTTTACATTTTCAACTTTTTCCTGATTTCTTTCATATACACTAAATGGATAATTGTCCTATACACATCTGATTATATCTTATCATTTCCCCTTAACTTTCCAACAGTTGTGTAACTCCCTTTTAACACTTAAAATTTCCAAACACTTCATTATGTAATCTTTTTTCTTATTTTTCAACAAACTATTATGTTTATTAAATCATTATAAATACTACTGGACAACTTAAGTAAATGAAATCTCTACAAAATAGAATTCTTTCTACTGAACTGTCTATAATTCTACTTAAATAATGAATAATTCATAAAAATAGAGGAGGCATTTATTAATTCGTTGACTATTGTATACAACTTACTATTAGTTACATGTAGGTTTTTCAAATGGATCTTCTCTAAATGATCTATAGTTCAAAAGCTACATCTGAATTATAGATTCGTTATGTAGTTGATTTAAATAAATGTGAGTAATGAAGACACACCGGTTGATCTTTAGCAAATCATAACTTAAAACAATGAAAAATTGTTTTGCCAAGTATGAAAATGATTATAGATATTTAAACATGAAATTCTGTTTTTAGAAAATAACAAATATTCAATAAATTTACCACTAAGACGACTAAATAAACGTTGTCTAGCTTCATTTGATGCTCTTGATGTGCGTATTTTCTCAATCCATTGATGTTCTGGATCATCATTCATAACAAGTTCTTGAATAAAACCAATAAGAGAATCTATTACATAGCCTTGTGGAATAGTACAACCTAATGAAAGAATAAAATTATAATACATTTCAGTTAGTTAAAACAAATTTAACAAGATTTATGTTCACTGTAACATCAGTTCTCAAGATTCGTGAAATTTTTTCTTTGCCTATTTAAAACTCAATGATAAAAAGAAGCTTACTAGAATAAGCTTATATTAATGTTGGACAGTGGCTAGTAGTAAAGTCAAAGACGCACGTTTCGCGCTTTTAACGGTGATATAACACTAGTCGGTCCATGATTTCAGTGAAACTAAAATAAACGTCACAGACACAAGATGACAAATAATAGTAATCGTTTGATGATATAATTGTGTACAAAATGAAAAATGATCACATATAACTCCTCTTATCGGTTAGATTTAGCTTTCTGTACAAAATAACAGGAAGGCAATAAAGAAAAGATAGTGGTGTGAGCATGAATATGCTTATTTATATTCTTTGAATAAACTGAGCTAACCAGGTGTAAAAAGATTCAATAGAGGAACTAACAATCAATCAAAACAATCTCTTTAAATCACTTATATTTCACAATTTTATTCAACAAAAATATGAAAGGAAAAGTATGTAGAGAAATGCATTGAGAACCTGCAAAGGTCAAATTTAAATAAAATCTGAGAACATACTTGATTGAACGGAAAATGGTTAGCAGTTAAATCTAAGATGCGCGTTTCTTCCTATATGGTACTCGTCAGCAGGGTGTGCCTGGATCCCACAGTTGTTTACTTCTGGACACGAACTCAGTACTGTTTGTATTAAACGAGTTCCAAATAGGTTGAAACGCTCGTTCTGAATTTAAACGCTGACCATATTCCATATATTTTATATCCACTTGTGTTACAGTGGCTTTATTGAGACAATATGCATAGGATGTCGATATACCAAACAAGACAAACCAAATTTCATTTACCAATATCAACTGCAGAATAATCTAAATCCTTTCAGATTAAATTAAAACATAATAGTAATATAATACTCTCAAGAGTGTAATATACTGATGGAAATCATTCTTTCCTCGAGGATGAGTTGTAATCAGTCAGTCATACGCAACGTAAAACCCAGACATATGTATATCGGTCCAAGTTGTTATATTGCACCTAAAAAAATACTTAGATAACAATCTGCTCAGTTTAAAACATACGTGATTTACAACAGACTATAAAGTACTACCCGCCTTAATTTAGGTAAATTTTCACTTTATATTACATTCCCATGAGTAGTGATGGGATGATGATCGTCAAAAAGAATAAGAGAAGTAGTGAACTCAGTTAAAAAAAGGTTCCAGAGTAACAAATCTATTTACGCTGTTAGCTGCAAATAATGTAAACTGGGAAGTACATACTGGTGGACCACTACTGAAAGACTATACATTCGTAAGTATTGACCATACCCATAACATTATTCCTTTCATTAATAAAAAATCAGACTCGGATAATAATTATTTAGTTCACTTTAATCAGTTCAATAAAACAAGATGAATTTACACCAATGTTGATTTTTCCCTTTTAAAAACACATATAGCAATTGTTGCTTGTCAAGAATAGGATTTTCAATGGTAAAAAAACATATGGATTAGTTTTGTGGTTATTAATATAAACTGTGTATTACATATACAGTATTGTTGTTTAAAGTGAATATATAGAGATCAGATCATGATGATTGTTGATATGAAAAGGAGAAAAAGTAAGTGAAAATCACACAGATAATAAGTTTTTAACATAGCCAAATGAACTAAATTGTGATGCTTTAGAAAAGTAGTGAGTGATGTCTGAAGTATTTGTTTGGACCTATAGAGAAAACTAGACTGAGAATAGCAATAATAAGTGAAACTAACATAAAGAGAAATGAATTGGTGGTATACTGTTAAAACAGAATTCTGAAACAATGATAGGAGAACTGTATGAAAACAGTGGAACGAGATTCACATGCTGTTTAACTGCATATCAACTAGAAACACATAGGACAAAGCGCTGATGATGAACTTTCATCTTGATGAGTCTAGGAAACAAGATTATTCATAAGATTTTATGTTTTATCAGGTACTATCATCCTTTTAAGGTTATGGAATAGAAGCACACTTACTGAAGCTCCACATAATTTAGATTCATGGGTCTGAACGAGACATTTTAATTTGTTGGTCAAATAACTCTGTAACATTATTACTGAAAGTACGTATGAGACTTTACTTTGTATAATTGGTCAGTAGTGTCTAGGCTAATATAGAATTTACAAATAGGAGAAACGTACCTGCTGAATACCTTAAACATATATAATTTATCATTTGTAAAATAATAGACTAATAAGTGGAAGTTAATATTACGTTAGTACGAAGAGTTATAATTTAAGTGGATAGTTTTAGTCCAACTGTTGACTGAACATAATAGCAGGGTATTTACTCTGAGTAATCTGAACACTCAACTACATTGCACTTTATATTACTAGCGGAATTATTTGCATGGACCATTAACGATTGATTGGGAACATTTTGATTAATTCGTTAAGTTGTTGGTTTGCTTGTACACTGCATACAAGTTTATATTCCTTGTGCGAGTGAACAAATACAATTCCATGTGTTATCTTTTTGTTACCGAGAACTTATATTCTGGGTTTATTGTTATTCGATTAAGAAAACACTCTTGGTTGAAGATTATCATTTACGAAGCACTAATGCATGATTTAAGAAACGTTATCCGCTTAATCATAACTAAATTTATATGGTGGATATGAAATAGATATGCTTTTTTCATAGATAGTAATACATTCTATGGATAACCATTATTAACTTTTGCCTTTCAGTATCAAACTAACAATGTTTGAGACCCGAAAAATGATAAGCATTAAAAGTGAAGCACATTCAATGGATGTCATAGTTCACTGCTAAAATTATTCCATTTTCAGTATTCAACCATCAATTCCAATATTTTATAAAGCTTGCGGTTTTCAAATTCACTACATTTAGTAACAAACAGATTATCGAGCTTATTATTAATGAAGAAATACGGAAGATTATACCTTCACTGATTATTAGTACATGCTTATTGTTAACTTCTTCGCTTTGATCGTCTATCAGAGTATACTTTCGTCACCCGAACATTTATATGGCTAATGATCCACTTAGCTGACGAGATGTAAACAAAATGAAAAATGAGAGGTAATGACGTGTGCACGCTACTCGGCAGGATTTTACATCACTTTCTAGGAAATAGACACACTCTGTTGGTAGAAAATGTCCCTTAAATTTCTGAACAACATGTGTGCATGCGTTGTCCACATATTCTTAATCCAGTTAGCCAATAGTCTCACTTAATTAAGTAATCTGGACACACATATAGGAAACGCAAATATCAGGATCACACCGGGATGACAGTAGAACATAACAGCAAAATATTAACAGACCGTCAATCAGCTACAACGTAGGACCAGGCACATTTATGCATCGGTTCAAGTTGCTACACCTCATTAGCACAACAAGATGAACAAAAAATTCATAGAAGCAGTTTAAGGAGAAACAAAGTGTATATCCCTACGCCACTGTGACCGATTTTGAGTCACGTCACTCAGTCTCCAACCTCTAGTCAAGATAGTCGCATGGATCCCAACCAGATATTCTGCACCTACCAACATGGTTAAGATCAGAAGTTAGTGACTTTATGGACTGAGGCTACGTCTTGGTTTGACCGCCCCTAATTTTTTTCCAGCCATCCCCAACACTAGTCAGTATTGCGCGCCGTGATAGTCGGTGGTCGGGCACGGGTAATACGTGACCCAACCATCTAAGTCAATGAAGATTCACAACCTCATCGACTGATTTACCATCATTCCCTAACATCTTGCATCTAACCCCACCATTACTTACTCGGTGATCACAGCAGATATGAGCAATATTTCTAAGACATTTGCGATCAAATACTAGTAACCTACAAGTATCTTTTACTCATAATGACCACGTTTCGCAGTCATAAAGTAGAACAGAACGAACTGATGAGCAGTATACTCACCCCTTACTCGATAGATGGATATGTCGCCTTCGCCATAGGTGACGTAAGTTCGCAAAAGCCAAATGAGCTTTCTAAATCCGTGAAGAGATTTCATTAGATACCAACCCATTAGGGCTATTCAAACTTCCAAAATAAATGAAGTTGTCGATACGTTCGACTACTTCACTCCCTATCCTTAGTTCAGTTGATGATGCAGACCAGTCTTGAAGCAACAACGTGCATTTAGAGGGGGAGAAACGCATCCCAAACATCCTAACATTGTTGCTCAGTGCCACCGAAAGACTGCGTTTTGTCAGCGTCTTTACCAAACAAGACTATGTCATCTGCGTATTCTAAGTCGTTAAGTGGACTTCCTGGATGGAGATCAATTCTTGAAACTTCAAACGACGAGAACGTTTTTCCCGGCAGTAGGTCTGTAATGAAATTAAACAAGAATGAAAATAGTGGACAGACTTACCGGACACCACTTGAGGTCGCGAAATCAGATGACAGTTCGCCATAAGCTCTGACTCTACTGGTAGTGTTCGAGTAAGGAGCCCTAACAGGGCTTGTGTAAGTCTGAGGTACGCCTTTCAGTGGCAGATACTGCCACAGAACCTTTACGGGTCTACATGATCAAATGCTGCTTTTAAGTCAAGAAAAACTATCATTGTCGGACGCCGATAAGTATGTTTGTGTCCTAGAACCTTGAAAATAGTGAATATATGGTCGATGCAGCTACGATCAGGTCTGAAGCTAGCCTAATTCTCTCGTGTTCGCAGTTCACGAGTGTTTGTTAGGCGCCCAATAATTATTGAGACTTTTTACCTGGTGCAGTAAAGGTCATTTTTTGCCTAAAAAATCTCGTAGAAGGATGAGTAAAAATATATTACTTCATATAAGAACCAGTCTGTTGATCTCGGAGTTGAGCGTCTAGTCCGTTTTTCATCCAGTTCAGCAATACTCTGTTGAAGATCTTTCCTGGTACTGACAGTGATGTGATGCCTCAGTAGTTCTCACATTTGCTCAGATCTCTTTCATTTGATATCTTGATGAGGTGTCCTTCTATCCGGTCCATCGGCATTTGTTCTTCCAAATCTTTCTGAATAGAACGTGGAGCATGTTTGCAGTTACTTCAATATCTGAATTCAGTGCATCAGATGGTATATTATCAGGCCCTGCCTTGATGTCCGGTAGGTTCAGTGTGGCTGGTCTATTCAAGAGTTCCTCAGAGTGTTTTGCAAACCTGTTCATCGGTTCTCGAATCCCAGTGACTATCTTACCTTGTTTGTCTTCGATGGGTCACTCTGGTATACTATACTTCCCTGCCAGTTCATTCGTCGTCTTATGTAGTTGTTTCATATTTCATTCACATACAGCTTTTTCCACTGTCATTGCTAGCTCTTCCACATATTTCTGCTTGTCAGCTTTAATGCTCCTATTATTTCTTCAATCTTGTCCAGGGTTTTTATAGAGATCCATTCCTTATGATGTTGCTTTTTGCGGCCCAGCACATCCTGACGTGTTGAAGTTAGTGCTTCTTCAATGCCTTTTAAATTGTCCTCCATAGTAGTTCCATTTTCTTTGAGTAGATACTGTAAAGCTTGGAACCTTTTGTTGAGAGTTATTTTGAATTCGTTGAATTCGTTAGTATCTCGTAGGAAGGCTGTTTTGAACCTTTGTACTGCTGCTTCTCCAACTGTCCAGTGTTTTATAGCTTCAGTTTCATTCATCGTAGGGTAAGAATTAATATTTTGTGGATATCAAAAGCATACTTCGGTTGCAAACTATTCATGTAATAGGAGGTATAACTTCAAAACCATAAACTTCGAACTATCAGAATGAGACTGCGGTTGTTTAATTAAGTGTTACCTTTGGTTGTCTAATTGCTCTAAACAATTGATGCCACAATGACTTAGATTCGTCCGAGCAATACACTTTTGGTTATTTTATGGTCACCATGAACCTTTACCTGTACTACATAACCTGAGAGACCTTTAAGAGGATTTATCACGACTTAAAGATAATGTTATGTCCCGATAAGCATAATGAATGGTAATTTTTGGAATCCATTTATGGACAAATATTATGCGTATATTTTATAGTATAATTGTTAAATAACTAAACTATACATATTCATGTCCCTCTTATTATGAGCTTTATTTTGACTGATGAACTTTTATTAGACGATTTACCATTCTTGAATTATGCCCTGTCTATTAATCACTACTTCACACACCCACAGTCACATTTAGCTATATCTTGTACAAATGTTGTTTCCTATTTCATGGTACGATGTGGTCTGTTTGGTTGGTATATAAATCCAATATGTTTGAAATAAACGATTCATATCTCAGATGCTGAGATCGGTGATCTGGACTTAACTGGCTGGGCTAGGCAGGAAGCTGGACCGATAAGGACTCTAGAGTGCTCGTACGGGTTTTACGCGTCATTGGTCAGATCGGTAATTCACTGCTGTCTAATTAGCGGTATCATTACGTTACACATTAACAGGGCACATAGGCCACAAGTTATAACAGAAAACTGGATCAATGACTTCCGTTCTCGCCATTCATTTAAAAAAGTGATACCATCTGAGCAAGAATATGTACTGTTATTCTTAAATTCACATCAAGTAAGAATCTTTGAACTAGATGACCCGAGTAAAATGAAATTCAATGAAAATAAGCGCTGATTGAATTAGATAAAGACCAGACAAAATGAAGATACCCCAATTTAGAAACCTTCAAAAAGTCAGGTTTCGAAATTGAATACAACTGGTAATCCCGTGATAAAGTAAGGTTTACTGGGTATGTTTTAAGTTTTATATACTAACCCATTTGGTTCGGAAATAAGCTCCATGGACTTGGAAAGCTGAGGAACAATCTGAGTCTAGCTACTGCTTTTTTAAGAGTGGAATCTGTTTCTCTCTTAAAAACAACACTAGTATGATCAGCATAAATTAAATTTGCAGTGTAATAGAGTTATACGTCGCACGGATAAGAGATCAGTGCTTTATGCAAGCGATCAACTCCAACAATCCTAGTTTACTTCTTTAGCACGCCAGAAGAACCACTGTGAACGAATTATATGTGAATTCAAGTGTCTTGGTTATATATTCGTAATCAGGATAGTTTATTACTGTTCATTGTATCCAGCTAAAGACGTTTTACAGGTAATCATTACAAAGCGGAGTGATAGCAGAAGCCTTGCCACACTAGGGGTTTACATATGTCAACGACTGTTTGATTGATATTAACAGCTAACGAAATACTGGAAATAACTATGCATCCTGACGTTATACGTCAAGTTGGTTGGTGAATCTGTGGCTCTTGATTCAATAATTTCTCTGCACAAAAATCAGAACACAGATAGGGATAATAATGTAACGATCGATGCAGTTTGCGTACATGTCAGTAAATTGTTTGATAAGTCTAGGACTTTATATTTAGGAAGGGACTGAGAAAATTCGCAGTCCAGTGTAAATCTGAAGAATGAGTTAGAAGATTTTTCAATGAAATGAGTGAAAGATATTTATCCGTAGGAAAGCTTCTGAAAGTTGCGGTGTCTCAACATGTAATTTAGGGTTTACTCAGTTGTTTACTCCAAGTAAAAGAACCACATATGTTTCTAGATCAGTTGTAACATTTTCAGACGGCAGTAAACTATGGAAAACTATGAATATCAGAGACGGCAAAATAATCGTACAGTGGATTTGATCATCCAAGCGAATAGGAGTATAAACAGTTGTTCAAAAAAACAGAAAAGCTTTTACAACAGGAATCTGGGAGAACAGGTAATATTACCATAAGGTAAATGTAATGACAATGATTAGGGTTGATAAGCAACATTGTATTCGAACTTTGAAGACTGGACAGTAGTTTGTCTGTACCTTCCTGGTTTTTCTACTTAGAATCCACTATTTAGAGCATCGTGATAAAGTCTGAAAACTAAAATAGAATTACTTCCATTTCATGAATCCTTTCTTGCACAAGATTTTAGATCCTTGAAATTTCTAACGAAAACACACGGTTCCAATGCATTTTGATGATGTATTTAAGATGGAATCGAATATATGCAGCGTTATTTGCGTTCATTACGTAGGCTGCGTGTGCATCAGTGATGTAGTTTGGTCCATACAAAATCGTACTAGTAATATAGTTGTAATGAATCAGACAGAAAGATAATTGGTAAAAGTGACAAGTGATGAACTAAATACTATAGCATGTTTATAAATAATATAGTCATCATGTGAACTCACAGTGATAGAAGCGTACTCCAAGGGAAGATTGGTGATAGCGACTAGCGTCAAGAAATACATCTACTCGAATAGCCAAACAGATTTCCCCACGAATTCCATGCATAGTGTCATAGATTGGAAACCAACCATTTAAACATCTGGTTTGCCCACGACTCAGTAAGGGATTTAAATCAAAGTAAACTCTCCCGATGGTATCATGTGCGCTATAAGTGTCATGATCCATAACTCTAATTATTAGAATTAAAAATCTAATAGATACAAACTTAAGTAGTAACGCCTCGTCTTGTAGAGCTTGGTCATCTAACTGCAAATTGAAAAAAAATCAGAAAAAAACAGGTACCTCGAAACAGAACCATTCACTATTCCACGAAGGATTAAGAGATCGACGAACTACTTCTGTTTTGTAAGTTATGCTTCCGATACACAACTGTAACCACTAATGATATCGAAATCTATTTACTTCAACAAAAGCATCTGTAAGAAATGTAGCTCTATCCATAACTGGTAAATTTCTTGCTGATATAACCCGCACTTTGACTGTTCCAGGCATTCTACTGAATTTCACATTTGTAAGTTAACCTTGATGTTTAAAATCGCGCTTAGAAAAGTCCACTTAAAGGAGAGCTGAAAAACCACTTCATTCTACTTTATTTTATTATAAAAATGATAGTGACTTATAAAACATTATTGCAAATTCTCGTTGACTGTTGACGGTTACTTATTGAGATTCTAACATCGACCAATAAACGTTGTCGTTTAGACGCATCATTAGTACATAATCCTCGCATTAGCACTTTATTCGTTATTGGACGTATAAATCACCTTACAAACGAGCTCCTCCCTGAAAAGGGAGAATATTATGAATCGATGTCCAAACAGAGAGAAAGTCCTTCTTAATTTAAAATGGTTTGTTAATCGCTTTATAAAATCATTTGAATCCAAATTAATACAAGCGATCTCATATGCTTCAAACAGTTGTGTTCAAAGCCCTTCTGGGTCTTCAAATATTTCATCACCAACGTTGTCAGCATCTAAAGTGAGTATTAAAAATGAAAATGCTTCTGGTGATTTACCCTTTATTCGACGTTTGCTTGATCAACAAATAAAATGTGGAAACAACCGTTTAAAAAATGAAAGTTCTTATTCTTCTCGGGACATAAGTATTCAAATTGCCAATCAAAAACAAACATATCATTCACCTTTGATGAAAATTCGTTCCTTAACTAACTCACCACTGTTCCGTCGACTATCTTTCACACTCAACAATAACAAACGCCAATCTTTATTGTCTCAAGATGAAAAAAATGATTGGATGAAGAATCATTCTGACTTTGATGAACCATGTGAGTTCGTAAGACGCAAACCAAAAATGCCTGATGTAACCATTACTAGGAAATGTTATTCAAATTCTCAGAGTCCTTCTTGTACACCATTTGAACAAAATGTTATTAACACATGTAGAGGACCTTTATTCCGACTTGCTGAATTAACTACTGAATCACAAAGGTTTTCAATTTTATCAGGCTTTGCACAGCAACTATGCATTATATATGAATATCAGCTCGGTATGTTGAGAAACTTGCCTTCAATACATGCTGCGGCGGATTATGTGGCTGATGTAGTAATAAGAGCTATCAAATTAAAGAAGATTTCAGGCATAAATCCTCAAAATTTAACTCCAATGATTCTGTTTGACAGTGAATGTCGACCAAGTACTTATAGTAAAACCGTAAAAACTCTTCCCTTAAGTGTTACTGGTGAACAAATGTCGTGGAAGCTGGGTGAAATATGGACACTTCCTGGATTAAGGCATAACGAAGTTGGTGGTGAAAATTGTCACAATCTTAGTATAGTTACACATTTCCTTTCTACAGTTACTCCAAGTGGAGATTACAGTAGGTCTGATGTATATGGTTACAGAAATTTGATTTTACTGACTAATGAGAAAAATAGTGAAACGATAAATAATCCCAACTATCATATTTATGACACTAATTTTCCATCAGCGGCAGAATCTTTTTCATTAAAATCTGATATTAGTCATAATGATAAAATGAATTCATATTTTACTATTTCTTCTTTTGATTATGCTACCATATCAAACAGCAAAATTAAACCTGGAAATATTCCTGATCCACCATCATCAGATGATTCACTTACTGATGAAAATCCTCAGAACACTAAAGGAAATGAAGACACCAGGAGTTCATCTCAAAGTAGTCCAGAAAATAAAATCAAAGAATCATCAAAACGAATTCATTCATCAAGTAGTGTAGTGATGTTACGGCAGCATTTACATCGTGCTTATCGACCTGTATTTTTTCTTATTTACAATCGTCCTAGTGTTATTGAACACTTAACAGAATGTGATTCATTTGCATCATTTTGTAAACGTCAAGCTTTAAGTCCTGTAATGTTTTTAAATCAACCAACAACGCTTTTCGATAAAAAACCATATCCATGTATTTATCAAAATTTTGATTTATTTAAAGTATCTGTTGCAGGTTATTTATCGCCTAATGAATGTGATATTTCAACAGATTCAACATATTTAAATAATAATAACAATACTACTACTAGTAGTAATAATAATATTATTATTAATAAAAATGATACCTTATCATCACACGTCATACAACAACAACAACAACAACAACAACAGCAAATGAAAGAAGGATATAATTATGGTAAAAATTTAATGCATTTTCCTTATTTCCCTTCACATCGAAGTGTAGCAGCGTATGATAATCCTGGATTTGCCCGGTAATCGGATAATAAATAAAATCTAATATAAAATTAATGTATAAAAACAAATTCATGTATGTAATTATTGGTTGTTTTTATTTTTATTTTATAAATTAACTAGTTCATTCTTATTATTTTGTATCATAATAATTCTGTATAATACAAAGTATAATAATAATAATAAAGAAACCTCAATAGAAAATATTGTTATTCAAAAAGAGAAATAATCATTTATTATAATTATTATTGACTAATTGAATTCTAAATGATGCTTTAAACGGATGAATGAATAAATAATTAAATGAATAGAGTAAATTTTGATAGAGTTTTATTCTTTAAGCTGAATAGTTTGGTCAACTTAACTTGACAAAAGTTCATCAAAATCATCTATCTGAACCACAAATCTTCTCCACCATCTCAGAACCATAGAGTATATATGTATAATTATTATTATTTATATGATAAGTTTAAATGGTGATCAGTGGAAAATGTATAGGGAATATGTTTAGATAAGTAAATTTATTATCCTATTATGAATAACAATTGATATCAGAAGGGGTTTTGTAGTGATTTTAGTAATTTCATTAGTTGAAATCATGAGTCATTTGAAGCTAAACCACCATGGAAAACCTCGAAGCACTGGACGTCCGTTTCGTCCTATTGTGGGACTCCTCAGCAGTGTACATCCACGATCCCGACCCCCTCGCAAGACTCGAACCTAGCACTGTTGAGGAGCTCCATACTAAGAAGAAACAACCATCCGTTTCTTGATGATGGTCTAGCTTCAATTAACTCATGACGTCGACTATTAAAGTTAATATAATATCTATGATATCCCTTTTGATATTAATGACAAATATAAATACAAATAATATAAAAAGTAAATTTATGATTATTCATTCTATAAATATCAAATTGTATTGTTTAAACCATTTGACATTCATTCATTATAACTAGATGAATCAATAAACACTAAACTGTGCAAGGTTATGTATATAATCTGAAAAATTTCGGCTTTCATTACAGTTTGATGTAATTAAATAGTATCTATGCTAAACAAGTGATTTTTATAGTTTTTTCTTTGAAAAGTAAGTTTTGTTTTACAAATGTGTTATATCCTAACTAGAATTATAAATGATAACTTTTGAGAACTATTTATGAATTAATATGATACATATAGTTTTATTGTATAACTTTTAAGTGGTTAAACTATGTATATTCATGTTCTTCTTATCCTGAGCTTTATTTTGACCCATAGACTATTATGATACGATTTACTGTTCTTGAGTTATACCCAGTCTATTAATTACAGACACTCATAATCATAGCCACTTTTAACTAGATCTTGTACAAATGTTATTTTCTATTATATGGTAAGATATCGTCTGTTTGATATGTATATAAACCTAGTATGTTTAAAATACATGATTAATATCGTAAAGGCTGAGATTTATGTCCATGACTTAACAGGCAGGGCTAGATAGGAAGCAGAACCGATAAAGACTCTAGATTACTTGTGAGGGTTTTATGTGTCATTGATCGGATCGATAATTTACATCTCTCTAATTGGCGGTATTATTACATCATATATATCAACAGGTCACAAGTTCACAAGTTATAACAAAATACATTGTTATTAATGAAGACAATTGTTATGAAGTTTTTCATAATACTTAACAAAATGTTGAGTAGGATTTACTTTCTTTACAACATTACAAACGTAGCATATATATGAAAATACAGATCTTGAGTGATTTGCAAGTATTTCATCTTAGGTAACTTTGAAACAGTATTAGATGACATAACGGAAACGTTGGTCACGGTACAGTAATTACATTCAAAACATGAATTTTGTATCAATCTTTATTTTTCTTAAAAAATCTTTATCCTCATTTTCGATTGTATTTAAATAAAGCGTATTCAGTGATTTCATTTTGTGTGATATAAATGATTTGATCAATAGTAATTTTATTATCATTCTAAATTCATTTTTAAAGTAAATGAGTTTTCAGATTCTTTAAACATGTGATCTAGATATTCAGCTTGATAATTTAGGTTTATGATTGGTTATACTTGATTGTACACGGATTTAAATCGGTTACTATGCTTGATATGGTATTCGAATTGATAGTTGTTTCGTGCATTCTTACACGATAGATGGGTGAAATTTGTATGGATAAATCTGTTGATAGCTCAATAAAGCCTTCTATCGGACTGATATTCCTTGTTCCTTATTTTATAATTGTATACAGTACACAAAACCTACTGAAATAGACTAGTTTAAATAAGAGAGCCTCTTTTCACTTCTAATTATATTTTCTCATTTAACTGTATTTATTGTAGCATGTATATCGAGAGAATAGAGGGAGCCCTATTTGAAAAATTCAAACACTTACTATGGGTATTAGTCATGTAATAAATCCAGTTACAGGATTATATATAATCAATAGATTGATTCAAGGCTTAATAAAATATTCCAAACAAACACTTGTGATTCCTCATATAAGTACCAAAGTACGTTGACAAGATGTGTTTTCATCACATCTACCATTCGTCTAGTGATCTAATACTGCACACTTATAAGTCTTAATAAATACTTTGTTGAACTTTACAGACAGTCTTCACACTTTTCAATAACTTTAACTAGATAGAAATAACACACATATCCTGGATTTTTTTGTCGTTAAGTTTCCAGTTTCATTATATTTAATTTTCATATTTGGTTTCATTGTTTTGTTTTTTTCATTAACCTATAAACATTGATCCCCTGTTAATTTTTGTATCCAACTCTTGACATCATCTTAGAACTTTCAAAACATAGTGGACTCATATTATATTCACGGATTTTATTAT